GACTAAGGCTGAGTACAATTGAGTGCGAGAGGTTAAGGCGAATTTTGTGTTTTTATTATTATGATAGTGTCGGCAAGAAAGTTTAATTAAAAAGGAAACGTCTTAAGTATATAAACATTATTATAGAAATAAATTATTACAAATTTTTTATTTTAAAATTAACAGTAGTGATTAAGTGAGAAAAGTTGTTTGTTTCAATTTCTCGACATAAGAAAAAGTGGATTTATCATAAGTTTTGAAAACTTGCTCCTCATTTTTTTTGTTAGAAAATTATTGAAGGATGAATTTATTTACATAGAAGTTATACTAATTTATACAATAATGTTCCGCGAATTTAATGTATTCGGAGGAGAATATAACCTATAAGAAATACTCTATACCAAATATATATATTATCCCCATATAGTATACATAATTTGTCACTCAACAGTTTTTAAGAACTGTAGCTCAAACTTGTAGAATTAACAGATTTGAATGCCAATGATTCTACATATTTCTCTATTTGGAGAAACATCAGTAGATGGCGCAGGAGTTTCTGTAAATTCTACAGAAAATTTTTTTCCGTGCAGCTGCATACTTTGCGCTAAGAATAAGCGAATAGTCGCTAATTCAGATTTAGAGAGTATATTGTTTAATTTAATAGCTAATTGCTTGTAAATGTACTCTCTCACTTTCTGCCTGCATGCATGCATGCAGGAGTTGTCATGACAATGTACAGGAGTAATAGAGATAGTAAATTCAAATTTGAATTTTTTCTCTCACTTATACTTCTCCACGTTGCCACTCTTTAAATCTGAATTAGTAAAAATGTTTATTAATTTAAATTAGTGACTCACTTTTTGCTTTATAATTAGTTAAATTTTATTAATTGCTGTTAGTAAAAGTTACTAATAATTAGTAAAATTTTTTACTAATTCAGATTTAGAGAGCATGACAACACAGAAAAAACTTGGACTCATTTTTGTTGCAACTCATTTTCTTTTGGGTATCGAAATGAGTATGGGACAAACTTCATGTTATTCAAAATGATATTGGCTGGAATTTCAGATTTCTAAGTTGGCATCATAAGCAGAGTAATTTTGTATTTCAATTATTGTTTCTAATATTTCAACAACACCAGAAAGATTATTTTGACCAGTACGAATATTTAGAAGTTTTTAAATAAAAATTATTTATTATTATTTACGTAGATAATAATTAATTTCATATGTTTTTAAATTTACCGCTATTATTTAAGTTGGCAGTACCGTTCCTGTTGTCAAAACACATGTTTTCATTTTTCTAACCTAAAAACATATTTCCTTTATTATTTTATTACGCGATTACAAGCAATTTTTAATCAAATATATTAAGTCTAGCGTGTTATTTACTTCTTTGTAATTATTATATTTCATGTTTTTGTGCAAAATTATTCGTTATTTCACAATATTTTTCCATTTTTCTTTTTCTCAAAATGAAACTTGCCTGTTTCATTTTGATACTTTTACCTTAGAACTCGAAATGAGACAACCAGTTTCATTTTTGTTGCGAATCAAATTGAGTATAGAATCTATACTCAATTTGAATTCAGGTTTTTTCTGTGAACTCCTACATGCATGCATGCAGAAGGTGTACCTTAATCGCGTGTAGTAAAATTTTAAGTAAGTATTGCTTACCTAAACAATGGCGCAACATTTGAAAACTGGTAAAATTAATTATTATTTAAATAAATAATGATTAATATTTTTTATTTGAAAAATATTAAATATTCCCACTAACATTAAGAATCTATTTAATATTATTCAAATAATAGAAAAAATTATTTAAATTGTAAATCAGTTTAAAAATGTTACTAACCTAAAAATATGAAATTAAGTCACTCTCAAATTGAGTAACTTGAAGTTTGTCATTTACTCAATTTAATACCGATCTCAAAATGAATTGCAACAAAAATGAGTCCAGTAACTCAAATGATAGTTTTATAAAGTAGAATCATTAAAGCCGTAAATGTTAAATTCTCCATTTACGATATCATAAATGCATCAACTATTTTGTATACAGTGCAAGTTTGTTACGTGTTGTCACGTGAAACGCTGTTACCCCATATAACTATAATAGCTAAGTCGTTTTGGAATCTCCTAAAGACCCTTATAGGAATAAAGGTTTATATATATAGCGACGATAGGTGATTGGTGACTTTTTGTAGCATATATTGGAACCTTTGCGAAAAGACGTCGTAAATTGTTTTATAGCCCAAGAACTCGAGCACAGATGAACTGGTTCTGAAAAGTACAAATTTAAAGCCTGAAATTTTCACGACCCTTCGCTAGATTGCTACTTTTGACAATCGCCTATTGTCATTGTGGTTTATGGGAAACGGTTCAATCCAGCTAAAAAGGGTCCTAAGTGCCGAGTAGGGAATTTTTTAAATGCACAGGTGAAAATATTTGAGAAATTCGAGACTTATACTATAGGTATAGACGCATAAAAACCAATTTATGAATTCAATATTTACAAGAAATTACTAAATTTTAAAAAATAACTTTTTTTTACTCATTATTTACATACAGTAATATAATATTTAAAAGGATAAAATATTTATTAAGCTAAAAAAGTATAATAATAATTAAAAATTAGTTTGGTATTTTTACATTTATATTTGATTATTCAAATAATAGAGATCGTAAAAATTATATCATAAAATTTACCAAATTTAATAAGAATCTGTTTGTTTAGAATTTATTTAGAATTTAGAATTTAATTAATCAATTAATTTAATAAAATATATTGATTTTTTCCTTAAATTTTAAAATTATTTTCTGATTTATTTATAAAATCATACATATAGTGTCAATTACAAAACAGAATTTCAAAACAATACTTATTTTTTTCTGTTGATAACACTTTACTTTTGAAAATTTAAATCTGTTCTGCCATCTATCGATGAAAATGTTTATTTATATCAAATCATAGGATTTGATTTTGATTGTTTTTAAATTCTTGAAAATAAATTTAATAAATAATAACAATAACTTAGAAAAGAATATTAATAAAAAAACCGGCTATGTAAAAGTAACCAAAAAGTTAGAAATTGTAAATAATTGACTAACAAGTAAAAATAGTTTTTTGCTTCTAGACTCGGTCGATAAATGACCATATGTCAGTAATGTAATGAAATTTTTTTTAGTGGTATATGGTAACCTTCCTTACCAATTGTTGATATATTTTCTCCTTTAACTTGTTTATTGTAAATTTTGACATTGTTCTAAAAATATCAATAATTAAATAAAATTTAGTTATGTAAAATTCTATTATTAAACTAAACAAAAATTTAGTTTTTTTAGATGATAAATAAGTGGAATTCATACTCCAAGTAGAAAACCTTGATTCGACCAGACATTAAACTATTTAAATTAATATTTTTCTTCTAAATAGAATAATTATAATAATAATAATAATAATAATAATAATAATAATAATAATAATAATTTATTCACGGAGAAACTTTAGTTTGTAAAATTTGATATTATAATACTAAATTTTACAAAAAGCCAATTATTATTTAAATATTATACTGAGTGAGTATTCTTAATTTACAGAAAATTATAAGGCATTAAAATAAGCTGCAACGCTTATTATTTTAAGGCAATTTTGACATATACTTATAATACATATATTGATAATATTACTATTACGTGATGAATCCCAATCGGCTACTAAGAAATGAAATTCCTTTTTTCAATGGGAATGTTTTCAAAAAACAATTTTAGATGTTACAATAATCAATTTTAAGATGAGCAATATTTTTAACACCTCTGCTTCTTTCCAATAAAAATAGTAATATTTTTAAAATAGAGTGTAATATGTGAAATTTAAACTTTTACTTTTCATAATTGAAGGGTAGAATGACAAAAGGGGTCAAGCGCCAATTCACTGTTTTTACAGGAAGTAAAAAAAACATTTTTAAAAATTTTGCAGGTCATTAAAAAAAAAAACTGAGAAAACCGTTTCGATATATTAGTATGTTTTAATAAGTAAACAACAATTTGTTGAAATAAACCTACATATTAACGATAAAATTAAAAAAAACTGTGGTTCCTTGAGGTTATATCAACTGCGCACATTTTCTTTAAACATTAATTATAAAAAAAATATACAGTTTAAAGAAAAACTGGAAAATTAGTTTCTTTCTATGGAATCAACGAAATGAATAGAAAAAAAAATTCCTTTAAAAAATTGTTTGTTTTCAAGAAAATTACGAATTAATTGCTTGCTTTGGAATTGAGCAATACTTTCATCTTTAAATTCAATTGTTCACTTAGTATAACCATAAAAATGTTTAAAAATTAATAACAAAATGATTTTAAAATTGTTTAAAATTGAAAATACATTATTATTATTATTAATTTTATTAATTAAAATATTATTAAAATAAAATTAAAATAAAATATTAAAATAAAACCTAAAAAAATAATATTTTTTTTTATTTTGATAATATTATTGACTCACCACTTTCTTTTGTTTTTCAATCAGGTTGCAATAAAGTAAATTTGAGGCTATTTTATTAATTTAATTTTTATTAAAAACTGATTTAAATACGCAATAAAAAAGGAAATCCTTCTACAGAAATGTGTAAATGAATTTTCTTGATTTTTTTATGCAAAAACCTCATTTTCGATAAATTGGCGCTTGACCCCTTTTGTCATTCTACCCTTCAATTATTCTACTCAAAATTCTTTTTGTGAATATCTCTTTTTCCTAATTTACAATTTATATAGCTTTTATTAATCATTCCAACTTCTTATTGTAATTATTAATAATATACTATACTTTTAAATGATACCGATAAATGTATTTTGTAATACATAGTAGTAAAAAATAATGTCATTTTCATCAGTTCATCCTCTCTTACTATTGATTTTTTGTAAAAATAATTATTATAATGTCAAATTTTACAAACTAAAATTTCTCCGTGTTATTATTTAAATGTTACATAAAACTTTGTTTTTTTTTTCGTCTAGAGCCATTGAGATAGAAGAAATTTGTTTTCAATTGATGGAACAAATAATAAATGGACGTGCAATATTGAAAATTAATTCAGAAGATAGTTCGAGTAGTATTCAAGAGACTGATGAATTTTTATTTGATAGTAATGACAGCAAAAAATGTCAGAAGTCAATAAATTTTAAACGAAAAACAAGTAGAGGTAACTTTACTTTAACCATAAATGCCCTACAACGAGCACATCAAATGCTTCTTGGTGGATTGAAGGAAAAAATTAATATCAGATCATTTTTTTATGAATTGAAACCTTACTATGTTGAACTTAAAGTAGAAAAGGTTAATAATGCTGTTGAGAATATTCGAAAATTATTAAATTGCAACCGATGGGACCTTGGTAAATTTTCACTTTTTTATTTATAATAATTTTTTTATAACAATGAAAGATCGTTTCTATTGACAAAAAAAAAAAAAACAACAATTTATCCTTTTGTAGGTTTTACCGCAACAAGCAAAGGTCTAGTTGCTGGTGATATTACTTTGAAATTTCAAGACAAGTCAATTGTTTATAAATCATCTCAAGGTGATTTAATTCCACAAGAGATAAATGAATTATGTTCCATTGAAACAAATGCAAAATATATTCTGGTTGTTGAAAAGGATACAGTTTTTCAAAAATTAATAGGAAATAGAGAAAAACTTCTTGTACGTGAGAATTGTATTATGATTACAGGAAAAGGAGAACCAGATATTCCTACAAGAATTTTAGTGAATTATTTGTCGGAAATTGAAAATATTCCCACGTTTATTTTAGTTGATAACAATCCTCATGGTTTTGAAATCATGTGTACTTATCGGTTAGTAAACACATTTTTTAAACATTTATCTCAATAATATTAAAAAATTTTTTCTCTAAATTTAATTATGTGAAATTTTTAACTATTATCTCATCATTTGAATGAAATCAATTTTTAATATACAGATTGATTTTTATGTTCCGGGCCCCCTAACAATTTTTTTTTTTAATCTCATTTAAAAAAAATTTTTAGGGGGTCCGTAACATAAAAATCAACCTGTATATAAATTGTTTGAAATAATAGCAAAATTAATTAAAACAAAATTTTTTTTTATTGCAAAAGAGGGTAGGAATATATTATTATTGATGTTATTTTTCCCACATATATAGATTTGGATCTAAAAATCACAAGCAGTGGGCTGCTCCATCTGCAAGATGGTTAGGTATTCATCCAATAGAAATGAAACCGCTTCAAATAAAAACGACGACTTTAAAAGAAATTGAAAAGAGTAAGCTGAATAGCCTCATGATACGAAATGATATACAATTATCTAAAGAACTTAAAAAGCAACTAAAGAAAATGAAGAAAATTGGAAAGGCTGATGTTGAGAGTGTTATGAAACTTGGCACAAATTATTTCTCAACTTCATATATTCCTGTAAAAATAAAATTGAAAGAATTTTACTAAAATTATTTATATCAATGGTAAATTGTATTTAATTTATAATTAATAATTGAACTTATTTCGATTAGTTTAAAATTGTCGATTTTCATTTATTGTCTTTTACATTTGATCAGCTTAATTTTTAATTTACTTTTTTTTTCATTGTTAAATTTTTCCCTCGACGTACTCTTGTTCTTGTAGTTCTTTTATTAGTGCTACCAACGCACATATCATTAAGTAATTCTAATAAATAATTTGTATGTTGAATATCAGATCTGAAATGTTAATTATTGAAAAATAAATTGATTAGGTTTTATTGAAAAAGTAAAAAATTTCTACTTTCTTCAAGTATTAGTGAACCTACGAATTATTTATCATTTCTTCAGAGGTATTTTCCTCTAAGGTAGTTGATGAGGCTTTAATTGTTTTATCATCAGTTATTGGTTGTTGTAATTTATTTTCATTTTGTATTTTAACCGAATCATTGTTGTCGTCCAATGTTATTAATTGGGGAATTTTTCGATAATATCCTAAGTAAATTACACTGCCTATACTAGTGGCCGATGATAATGACATCAATGAATTCTGTGCATTTTCTGATAAGTTGTGTTTATCAAGTGCTTCTAGTGATTTGTGCCTTCGAACTGATTTTCTGCTAAAAATTGCAAAATTTTCTTTTAATTTTTACTTGAAAAATTTTTTTAACCCCATTTTCAAAATTGAAAAAAAAAAAAATTCAATATGGTATATTTTTTAAAAAATGATCTTTTATTATTCGTTTTTATGTAGAATCATTTCATTAATTAGAATTAAATTAAAATTTGGAAAATTTTTGGTTAAAGTGAAATTTTGTTGATTTAACACTAATCTTTTGAGAATGTTTAAAGTTATTATGGAAAAAAAACTTACATTTGTAATATTTTACTTCTTCGCGTTCTATGTTTCACAGTTTTTTTGCTAATAAAAACGTTTCGTCTTTTTCTCAAATTTCTGCCAAAATGTTTAGTCTTTTTTTGAATATTTTCTGAATCCACTTCCATTTTCTCAATCTATTTTACTATGATTATAAATAAATATGCAATTTTTTTTTTATGAATTACTCACTTTTTATTCTGTACAATATAAGAATATTTTGAGAGGATTTAAAAAAAAAAAAAAAAAATTGGTTAAACTTAATTACTATTTTCTTTCGATGTATGTCAGTGGCACTTTATAAACAACTTAAAGTTTCATTTATCATTTGTTTTTTTTATTAACAAAAAACAAATTTAATCATTCTCCATTTCAATTTTAAAATGGTAAAACTTATTTTTATTAATTAAAATTAAGCTGTTTAATATTATTCAAAGTATAGAGGATTAGTCTTACACGAGTGAAAGTGCTGAAATTAATTTAATTTAATTTCATCTGAACATAATTTAACATGTAATCAAATTAATTCTTTACATTCTTAATTAAAATCAGGGTGTTATTTTACGGAAAAATAAAAGACGATCTAAATGTCAAAAAATCTAGGGAACTTCTAGTAGAATCTATCCCAGATGAATTTGTTTACTAAAAAGTTCAACAGAAAGCGCCACTATGAAGTTTTGAATATATTTAATTTTTTTTTTTATTTATTATTATTAATTATTTAATTAAAATGATTAGGTAATTAATAACAATTACAAAATACAAAGTGTAATAATAATAATAATAATAAAAAAATTTAAGGAATTTTAATGTTTTAAGAAAATGGTAAGTAAAAATAAAATAATAATAATAATATAATAATAATACAATAGTCAAAACTAACACTGAATATTTTTCTCTAAGTCGAAGAACTCAACTGCTCTTTAAAAAAATTCAACAAAAAAAATAATATAAAGGATTGTTCAAGAAATTTTTTTTCTTTTGTTTTATTATTTAATTTTTTTCGTTGACTTACTTTGGGAAAAAAATTGGTGATTATAGAGAAGAATTACAAATTTTAAATTTAGTTCTTCGAAGAACATTTTTTTTCTCTGTTTTAAGAATAAATTATACTTGAATAACATAAATGAATAAAATAAATCATTAGGGTCAGTTGGGGTAAATGGGGACAAGAGGTTTTTGGAGCTTAATTTACAGTTTAAAAATTAAGTTCAACGTCAATATTTTAACCTCAGATCACCTGCAAGAGGTTTTGAGTATTGCCAAGCTTTTATCTTGACAATTGTCAGCAAGATAATAACTGTTTCAGTATTTTGTCTCGCATTTCAAAGAAAACAGACTTAAAAATCATACCAAATTTTTTTCTTATTCCTTATGACTCCCATAACAGAAATTCACTTGAATTTTTTATTTTTATCAATTTGGTTAATAATGACAAGCTGTCCCCATTTACCCTGAGTTTTCGAATTAACCAAATTAACAAAAATCAAAAATTCAAGTGAATTTCTGTTATGGGAGTCATAAGGAATAAGCAAAAATTTGGTATGATTTTTAAGTCTGTTTTTTTTTTCAAATGCGAGACAAAATACTGAAATAAAAAAATTTCAATTGGTTTAACTATTTTATATCTACTACAAATTTTTGGTGTATGTAAACATGCAAAAAAAGAATATTAAGTATTATCAAGAATCAAAAATTAATTATAAAATGTTATTTAGAAAAAGTCTGAAAAATACCATGTCGAGTAGGTAGGCAGCCCTCTTCAACTTGTGTCGTGGGGTGCTAAAACATTGATTTTCAATAATCATCTGTTAATAATTGAAATTTGTTAATAATGTTATTTACACAGGTTTTATTTAACACAGAATTAGATTATCTTCCAAATAAAAAAAGAATTGACGATTTATCTTCATTTCTTCAAATGTTATTAATTATTTAAATAAGTTTTATTATTAATTATTAATTTAACACCCGTTTATTAGAAATAGTTCATATAGGGCTCGTTGGATGTGGATTTTGATAAGCATTCTAATGGTGTTTTTAAAATTACTTTAATTTTATTTGTTCGTAAAATATTTCATTTTTTATTAACTTTTGTTAGTTAATTAATTAATATCTCGAAAACAAAAAATAATGCAAAAAATAATGCCATCACAAAAAAATTTGTTATTGTAAATATCTCGAAAAATACGAATACGAAACGGTCAAGTAGTGGGGATGGTCAAGTTGCGAAGTATGCAGGTTGCGAGGATTGCCTGTAACTGGAAAATATATTGAAAAATAATTTTTTTATGTTGAGAAATAATTTTTTTTAAAAGAATGGTTTCCTGGAAAAGGAAAAAATCCTTCCTCCTTGTTTCAAAAACTAACTAATTTATTTAATTCTCATTTATTTCATTGACTACTATTTTTTTTTTTTTTTTGAATAATAAATACTTTTTTGAAATCATACTAACTGGAAAATATGTTAATAAGGTAATTTGGATTAAAAAAATGTTTTCCTGGAATGGAAAAGGAAAAATATCCTTCCTCATTGTTGAAAAAATAAAAAAGAAAGAAAATTAATACTTGCACCTAAAATTAGCTTAGAATTATATATGACGTGGTTATTATTTTGAAATTAATTTATGAAAGCGCTAACTAAATTTTTGATTAAAGTGCATTCATCGCGTATCCTAATGCACTATACATTATATCGTACATTATCAAAATAATTAAACTAAATGTGATAATGTTATTTATTTTGAAAAACTATTTAATTTTATTACTTACGAATTTTTGTATTTGTTTTCTTTTTTTATAACAGGTTTAGAAAATAAACATTATAAATTTCACTCATCACATCACCTTTGTCATAGCAGAACTGAGTATTGAATAAAATAACAGAAAATTCTATTAAGAAATCGATGGTAAGTGAAAACCTACATTTAAAGATAAAATCTTACAATTTTTTTTTCGAAATATTAAAAATAATAAAAGAGAAAATGTAAAAGCATGAAGGTCAATCGTGTGCAGTAGCATTGATTTTTCTATGTTATACGTTTTTTTTTTTTTTTTAAAATATTATTTAACAAAAGGTTTTGCTTATTATTTTTTATTTTTCATATTATTTTGTATAAAATAAAACAGAAGTTTTTATTCTACTTATTTGCGTTCTGCTTTTGCAATTTTTGTTCATTCAGTTTAGACTAAAATGTTTCTTCTAAACATTCTTTCATCATTCACTTAATATAAGAAAATAAGACTGCATAAAAAAAAAGAATTTCAAATTTTCTAATAATTTCCATGTATATATTTTATAATAATTATTTCAACACTTTTTCACATCGCCTTAGATTCTAAACATATTTTATATTTTTTCAAAAAAGAAAATATAAAATTTTGAAATATCAAAATCGTTCTAGTAACCCTGTGAGTGGGTAAAAATTATAAGGAAAACAATATTTTCAGGTAATATAACAGTTTATTGAAAACACTTTGTCCGCCCGATACTCAGGCTGAGCTTCGCTGATATTAAAAAACGCAGAGTCTTAATAACATGATTATCTGTTAGGTGTTACATGGAAGATAGCTGATTCAAATAACAAAACTGTCAGTTTTAATTTACACGAGAAAAAAAAATTTTCTAGTGCATTAGCAACTCCAGTTTATTTTTAATTGACGTAGACTTTTGAGGCTTTCCAGGTTTTTTTCTCTTTTGTGCAAATCAAAATCTGCAAATTCATTATTAACTATATCAATAATCATTATATTCTATAACATTAAATATTCACTATACAATTTCTATATTCATTAACCATGTTTTAGGCCTAAAATATATATATATATATATTAATTGTGATATACAATTATAAAAAAAAACATTTATGAAGTTTTTAACGATTGGATTTGAAAGATTACGATTTGACAAAAGTGATCCCTGAGTAAAAAGAAAATCGAATAAATTAACAATTGACAGTTTTGAAAAAGAATCTGAATATTTTTTTTTTTTCACGTCGAGTTCCGCTTTTATCGGCGTCGTCATAATTCTAGCGGCGATATTAAGTTATACCAAAGCTATAGATATTTCTATGCGCTGCTACCAAAGATTTCTTGCAAGAAATTCATAATACGCGTGCTTTTGTTTGTTTGCCATCGCATTGATCATTATTATTAAATACAATACAACTATAATCGATTTCTGTCATTAATTAGATTTAATAATTGATCGTGGCTAGGGTAAGAATCACGCAAAAATTGTAGAAAAAAAAAAAATTCAAATGTTAAACATTTCTATACTCTTAAAATTTTAATTAATCTCAAAGTCCAATTAAGTGGCTTATTTTTCACAAATTTGATTAGTTAATTTTCACTGAAAATCAATATGAGACATTTCATGATAAAAGGGACCTAACGTAGCAAAATACTTTAGGCTCATTTTTCCATGAAGGTGCAAGAAAAAATGAGCTTAACCTAATTGCCGCGTTAGGTTTCTTTCATTGTGAAGGTGGAAAAAAATTAGAGTTATCACATTGAAAAATTATGCATAATTTTTAAATGTATTTGTATATAACTTTTTCTCCTCAGCAGTGAAAAATAACTCAATTGAAATTGGTGTATTTTTCACTAATTTATATTAAAAAATTTTTTTTTTTATTTACAATAATTTTTTAAATGTAAGAATTTCCTCTTCTTTTTGATGAAAAAAAATACTTATTCTGCAAATATAAAAATTAGAGATATAATTATAAGTATTCCTTACATATAAATAAATGGACTCTAAAAAAATAATTTGACTAAAAGAACAGGATAAGTTGTTTTTGTTATTACTTTTTTTTTAAGTCAATTTATTTACACGGAAAAAATTAATTCAGTAGATTTTACAAAACTATCACGAAGTAGCGGATACAGCTCTTTACGAAACTGAGTGTTGTAAAATGTCACTAAATATTCAGGATAAACTTCAGAAATATTCCGTATAAACAATAAAATTTCTGTAGTTTATCCGAAAATATCCATCACATTTTACAAAACTCTGTTTCGTAAAAAGCTGTATCCGCTACTCCGTCACAGTTTTGTAAAATATATACTGAATTAATTTTTTCCGTGTATGGTTTAATTATTTACATTGTCTTTTAAAATAAATATTTCGATATTATATATAATTAGAGTAGAATATTAATTATACAAATGATAGAGGTGAAAATTTTTACATTACACATTTTACGTGAAACTTCCCTTGCTCCTTCGGACCGAACCGGATTCTAAATTAATCAGCCTTCGGTAGGAACAACGCGAGCTTCCCCTTTGAAAAGAAGTCATTCGTTGATCCGAAGTCAATAATTTTATTTATTTATTTATTTTTTTTTTCGACGGTCGACGTTAGATATTTCTTTGCAGAATCGCTCACCTATATAATTACACCTATTTTCATTAATTAATATTATACCTATTCTGTCTTAATGCATTTTGAGAAATATTTCCTATCTCAATTTATAGTAAAATTTATTTATTTTTTTTTTATTTTAATGATAAATTTGTTTACTTGAATTAAATAATTGAATATCGTGATATAATGGCAAATTTTTCACTCTTTGCTGTTTCATTAAATAATTTTCATTTTAATTAAAAATTAATTGTACAATTCGCCCCAGGCCCGAGGCGTATTGGTACAGTAGAAATAAAATTATAAAACATAAAAGTTCAAAACATTATTATTAATTGTGAATTGAGATTTGTACAATAACATTAATATCAAAAGTTTGATAATTTTTTTTTTTCATATTTTATCGAATTTTTTTTTTATTTCTAAAATTATAGAATATTGTAGCAAAACAAAATCTATAAATTCATTTTCCTTCCTCGTGGAGGAAGCTTTGTAGTCCTTTCGTTTGTAAAAATTTTCAAAGTGTCGGAAACAAATTTTTCTCTATATAGAAACATGTTATATGAGATCCTGATCAATTGTCCGGATGTATGTATGTGTGTGGATCCCTTTTTTGTTTAGACGATAACTTTAACAGGTTTTAATGGATTTGATAAAATTTGGTAGGCTCATTTATCATATTAATATCTCAAATCTGACCAAAGAATTTTAAAAAATAACCCAAAAAAAAAAATTTTGTCGTCTTTTTCCAAAAAATTTTTTTTTTAATCGAAAAAAATTTTAAATAGAAAAATTTAAGGTTATATATAATAAAATCGTATTCCTTAGGTCAAGACAAATTGATTGATATATATATATAAAGTATAGTTTTAATTTAAATTTAAAGAATTAATGAAATTTAAAAAATCAAAAATTCACATTTTGGCAATAAAATTTTGTAAATATTTAAATTTAAGTTTATAGATGAAATAATTGTATTCCTTACATGAAAACGAATCGATTGGTATATAAAAAATTTACATTTGAGGTAAATTTAATAAATTAATGAAAGTTAAAAAATATAAAATACACATTTTAGCTGAAAAATTTTATATTTATTTAAATTCAAGTTTAAATATAAAATAATTGTGTTCCTTGCATTAAAACGAATCGATATAATTGTAAATAATTATAAATTATATATTATTTTTCATTAATATTTAGAAATTTCGGTTAAAATATGAATTTTTGATTTTTTAACTTCCATTAATTCTTTAAATTTAACTCAAATGTTTATATTATTATATTATTTTTGTATGTTTATTTCAATGATAATGCTTTCTCCACGAGGAAGCAAATTTTTTCGCTGATCGTAAAATGTTCATGTAATGAATATCTGAATTTACAACTTGTTTTGGTTATTTTTGTTCTATGAAGGGTTGTCCTTGAATAAATTGAAATGTTCGAGTACATCCCGGTTTCCCCTGTGGGTATAGATTAAAAATGATTAATTTTAATAAAATTTCAATTATTATTTAAATTTATAAATTTTACTATAATTGAAGTAAATATTTCTCCACACAATCACTCGAAGCTCGGTAACTGGACGTTTCATGACACGAAGGCTTTTTTTACACCCTGATTATTTAGTGACCAATTAAAAAAAATTTTTTTTTTACCTAATTGTTCTTATCAGTTTCTTATTAATTTGATATATCAATAAACAATTATTTAATTTCAATCACTTTCTATACAGTTTAGTATAAATGTAGAGTAATATATTTTTAAATTATAAAAAAAAGTTTTTTCATCATAGAAAAAAATGATACATTTTATTTCAATATCAAAATTATTCCAAAAAGTTTATTTCATTTAGGTTTTTTAAATTTTAATATAAAGAACGTTTTATTTAAACTCGTTTGTATGAATAACTAAAGAAATATGGAAAAAAGTAATTTATTTGAGTAAAAATATTCAACTTTTCCAAGTATTCTTAATTTTAAAAAAATTTGAGAATTTTTCAATTTTTTTTTTTTCGTGTATGAGAAAGCAATATTATTGAAATAGCAAATTAAATGATATTAGTTTGTACTATATTAATAAGCACCATATCACATTTTTTGAAAGATAGATAAAAATTTATTAATTATTAATTTAATAAAATATTAAAAGTTACAATTTATTAATAATAAAAATCTATTAAATTTATTGTTGTTATTGTGTCACTTTTTTTCCAATGATTGATTACCGAAGACCGAAACTTCGCGTGAATAATATTACATTACGATCGAACGACATAGTTTTCCTCACAATAATTAATAATATCGGTATTAGTATCTCTTTTTTTTATTGTTTGATTAGTTGCACTAGCCTTGATTGTCGGCATATAAGGGCTGCTGGCGTACAGCAATAAGTTTTTTTTTTTTTTTTTTTTTTGGCGTGCGATTCTTAGAGCGCGCCTTGTCGACCAAAAAATTACACCGTTCTCTCACAAAAAGCAAACTGATAATATATATATATATTATAATGTGTCGCATTTTAGTTGCATATTTATTATAGGTGAACTAAAAAAAAATTAATCTTTATTAACAACTTACAACTGTATAACAATTTTCAAATTTTTCTATATAACAAATAGCAGTCGCAACAATTTGTTAAAATTCATCAACTTTTATAAATAACAAAATTAGATTGTGGAAAGATTGAAAAATTCTATCTCTACTAAAAATTGAATTGCTGATTATTTTATTTTTTTATTATTTATTTTTTTTTTTTTTGCTGAGAGTGCGGCTTGATGTGTCGATCGACAGTTGTGTGTGTGTGTGGTTTTTTTTAGTGTATATGTATGATAGTAAGAGGGGCAATTATGTACAAGTATAGTTTAATGTCGACAAAGGGGAACGACTTTCTAGACGCGAAACATTATAGTAAGTATTTGTATTAGGCGTAAAAGCTGTACAGTAAAAACATAGGTTAGCATTATTTTTATTTAAGAAAACGGAGGCTGATGGTACAACGATTTTTAGGCTCTGGATCATCCCCATCAATGGCTGTGTAATTCTTTTTTAAATCGACTTCAGATACTTTTCATTTTTATCTTTTTTTTTTGATATTTTTTTACACTGTATGATCATGTTTTATTTTTTTATTATTTAATTTTAATATATTATTGAGTTTTATTTATCTTAGTTTTCTATGTCTTTTAGTTTTATATAATTTAATTTAATATATTTCAGTTTAATAAACACTTGATGTTATTAATCACAAAAAAAAAAAATAATTAACCTGAAACAGCGAAATGTTTCATTACAAGAGCAAAAATTTTAATTGTTTCGCTTAAGTCTTTCACACTAATCTAGTGAAACTTTTCATTGTTTTAGATAAATTTTTTTCCTATGATGATTAAATGTAAAATGAAAAATAAAGAAAAAATAGATTCCTTTTTTTGATTGGTAATCTGAAGTCGATTATTTATGTATGGCGTGATGATCCAGTGAGAAAAGCGAATAATTTTTGCCATAGCAAAGAGAGCTCGTATAATGATGCATGATGAGTATACAACGCTTTAACGATATAGTACAAATATGATAGAATCCCCTTTTTTTTCATTAGTTTTTTTTTTCTGTTTTCATAAGAATTAATTTATTCGCACCTTTCCATTTCTGACGCAGACACACACACGATAGTCTCTTTTTTTTAACTTATAAATCTTTCTCTAAAAGCATTCACTCTCGTTCTTCATCAATTTGATTGCATTAACAATAAACGATCTTATACTATTAATAATTAGAAGAAACTTGGAAGGTGCAAGTTCGATTTTTTTTGTTTTTAATAAACATTTCACGTCGACAATTCATTAAAAATCACGATTCTTCATCCCATCGTTTCTTCCGCGCGAGACTCCTTTGGCGACGGTTTTGTTGATGTTTCTTTTCTGATCATAGAAGCAAGTGCGGCGTCGATAACGAGGAAGTAATGGGTTTTGAGGCACTAGGAGGGATCCAAAACGAGGCAATTGGCCAGGAAATCCTCCATGGAACGATAGGCGTGCTCGAGCACACCAGACAGGGCATGATCTTCGTCAGCATAACTCTAGAATTTTATTTCACAATTTAATAAATATGTCATTATAGTGAAAAATTATTAAAATTTTTTTTTTTATTTATTTTATTTTTAAATAGAATTTTTTGTTTACTATCAAAAATAATGGATTATGAAAGCGTAACTGAAATGATATAAAATTTTATGATCCTGTTTTTTTAATGTCCAATCACATCAGAGCATGTGGCTGTTGAATCTTTAAATTCATGTCATCCATATTTATACACTGAAAAAAATTTGCTTCGCATTAATGACTACCTATTAACCATAGCAACTTTAAATCTAGTCAGCGTAACCAAGCATCCTAGTCAATTCAGTTATGTACACTGAGAAAAAAAATTTAGTGTTTGCAACAAAATTGTTTGGTTAGGCAATTTTGGTTCTTGTAACCAAATTTTGGTTGACTGAAACAAAATTGTAGAGTTATCTCAACCAAACATTTGGTTAGACCAACAAAATTATTTGGTTGAACATTTTTAAATTCCAACCAAAATTCGGTTACGACAACAAAATAATTTGGTTAACACAACAAAATAGTTTGGTCTAAAAAACCAAATGATGGTTTGTTGTTCTAACCAAAATTTGGTTGCGACAACCAAATAATTTGATTCGCTCTCATCTCATAGCTTAAGAGAACAAAAAAAAACTGTTTATTTGACCAACCAAACATTTTTGTTGACCTAACAAAAAAAATTTGGTTGAGCTAACCAAGAAGACTAGAGACAGGAGAGTAAACTCGACCGTTTTCTCATGCAGAGCATTGAGTCAACAGTGGTAGGTATATGAGGGCGACCCTTGATTGCGTCAACTACTCTTTTCGATTCTGCGCATCTTTCACACACATTTACCGAGAAAATGTGTATAGTCAAAGATATTTGTATTGGGCATAGTCATGGGCGTAGTAAAATTCGCGTGAATGCACAGCTGATCAGCTGTTGCTCAAAGGCGAAAAAGTAAATAGATTATATTTATCGTAAAGAAAAAAAATTTAATCTTTTTAATTGTCTTTTACAAGAACCAGTGAATAAAAAAACCATTTGAATAAAAGCAATCTTCGTTAAAATGATGGTTGCAAATATATAATTGCTTTACATCAAGCCGGTATTTTTTCAGGTTATGTCCAATAGCATTTAACCATTCTTTTCTAGACTTCTACAACAAAAAATGGTTATAATAAATAAATAAACAGTAAATTAAAACTTTTGAATATTTTTATTTAACATTTTCATTTTTTAATAATTATTATTAGACATTATTACTATAATAAAAACATAAATAATATAAACTAATACAAGTCCAATATGACATACCTCGTCCTTCGGAAAGGGAAATAATGTTCGATGATTTTCTTTATCTTCATCATTATCACAGCAATTAGTTACACAACACTTTCCACTCATTATTGATCAAATATAAATTAACTTAACATTTAAAAATTGCTAATTTTGTAAACTAAAACAGGCTTTTTTGACTTGACGGCCATAACAAAAACAAATCACATGTAAGATATATACGTCATACATACATATATATATTATGCGCAGAATCAAAAAATAGATACTTGACGCCTTCTAGGGTCGCCCTCATATACCTACCAGATTTGTCTTACCCCCACTACTCTACTTTACTCTCCTGTCTCTAGTCTTCTTGGAGCTAACCAAACATTTTGTTATGCCAACAAAAAACACACAACCAAATTTTTCGGTTGACTCAAACAAATAGTTTGGTTGCTTAAATACCAACAAAATTTTTTTGTTGGCCCAACCAAATTTTGGTTAATCTGACTAAATATTTTTCTCAGTGTAGCTTGGTTAATATTGTCAAAGTCGATTTAGTAGAATTAACCCCTTGTTTCCTATAGTTATATTAACTAAAGTGTTTGGTTAATATCGCATGTATCTATAGTCATGTATATATAGCCAATGTAACTAAGAAACTAGGACCAAAAAAAAGATACCCGTGTCTGGCCGTTTTGCTATATTAGGTCATTTTTTGCTTTTAGGGGTAAAAACAACCCTTAATTGAAAGGTGATAGGAAATCTTGTACAAAAAAATAATTTTTTATAAAACCTGGTATCTCGGGGTTTATCGGGTCGCTGATTACGAATCTGATGTCAGATTTTCAAAATTCAAAATGGCGGATCCAATATGGCGGTCAAAATTTATAAAAATTCACCAATTCATTTGAAAGTTGTTATTTAGGGGTTTTTGGGGTCGCTGATTACGAATGTGATGTCAGATTTTCAAAATTCAAAATGGCGGATTCAATATGGCGTTTGAAATTTATAAAAGTTCGTCGAATTCACTTGAAACTTGTTACTTGAAGGTTTTTAGGTTGCTGATTACGAATTTGATGTTGGCTTTTCAAAATTCAAAATGGCGGATCCAATATGGTGGTCGAAATTTATAAATGTTATTATGTTATTATTATTATTATTATTATTATTATTATCTTATTATCAGCGACCCCAAAAACCCCTAGACACCAAGTTTTATAAAAAATAATTAATATTTATAAATTTCGACCGCCATATTGGATCCGCCATTTTGTATTATTATAATCTGACATCATATTCGTTATCAGCGACCCCAAAACCCTTCAAGTAACAAGTTTCAAGTGAATTAGATGAACTTTTATAAATTTCAATTGCTATATTGAATCCGCCATTTTGAATTTTAAAAATCTGACATCATATTCGTAATCAGCGACCCCAAAAACCCCTAAGTAACAACTTTCAAATGAATTGGTGAATTTTTATAAATTTCGACCGCCATATTGGATTCGCCATTTTGAATTTTGAAAATCTGACATCAGATTCGTAATCAGCGACCCGGAAAACCCCGAGATACCAGGTTTCATAAAAAATTATTTTTTTGTACAAGATTTCCTATCACCTTTCATTTAAGGGTTGTTTTTACCCCTAAAAGCAAAAAATGACCTGATCTAGCAAAACGGACAGACACGGGTATCTTTTTTTTGGTCCTAGTTTCTGAAAATCATTGATTTTTTCGTGTGTGAAAAAAAAGTTGAATTTTGTCGGACGGTGAGATACCTAGTTATTCTGATAAACTTCCCTAGTCATTCCGACTAATTGTCGAAATCAACTTTGACCAAGATTACCTAGTGGGTTCCTCTCGTAACCAGGCAAATTAGTGAATTCCTGGTATACGGGGGTTAGGAATTTTTTTCAGTGTATTTAATCATAAACTTGAAATTTTAATTAAAAAATTTATTTTTCAATAACATTGAATATAAAAATGTGTAGTAAAAGTGAAATTCATTCAAGAAAAATAATAAATGCAAAAAAATTTTTTACTCCTTTTTGAATGAATTCAAAGATAAAAAAAAATCACCTGATATCTGAAGATCACTCCTGCCTCAGACATAGCCTTTGCAAAGGCAACGCCGTGCGTGTAAGGCGCTGTAAGATCGGCTAAGCCGTGAAGAAGATAAAGACTATTACTTGGCACCAGTCTGGCACGTTGTGTCAAATCAGCCTCCACATAGCCCTTAAAATTATCTGCTGGTGCTCCTAAAACGCGTTCCGTAAAAGCCGAGTCTAAAATCATAAAAAAAAACCAAACATCCTGTTTAAAGAAAATGCACACAGGTTTCCTTCTCATCTTCTTAACATTCTCATAAAAACCCATTTTTCATTAAGATAAAACCAACTTAAAATTTTCATCAACTAAAAATGTTCTTTTTTTTTTTTTTTTTAAAAAAAAAGGGAAACTTTATTTCTCATTTTTCTCACACAGATACATATCAAGCTTTTCTCATTTTTTATCCAATTTTATATCAGTAATAATCACTTTTTTTTTACAAAATTCACTTCAGTCATTGGATATATATGTAAATTTATAATACACCTAATATATTACAGAGAGATATATAAATCAAGTAACTTTCTTCGTTGGTAATAATGTTAAGTATACTAGGGAATGAAAATGCACTTGAGTAAAGATATTATATATACACTAGAGTCTACTCTAAAAGACAAGTTTCCTTTGAACTAACTTTCTTCATACCTCGAATAGTTATTTTATTTTCATTTTAATTAAATGGAATAAATTACACACAATGAGGTGTAGAATATTAGACCAGTTTGTTCATTAAAATAATTATAGAAATTTTTTTTTAAATACTTCATTGATTAAGAACGATAAATTTTTGGACTTAAGACTTGTTAAAAGAAGATTTTTGAAAAAATTTAATTTTGAATAATAAACTCACTGAAGTAGAGCCAATCGGCGATTGGATTGACAGAGACGCCACATTTGAAAACATCCTGCTGACTACCAAGCATCATTGCAGTTACATATCCACCGTAACCCCATCCCCAAACCCCAACTCTCGATTCATCCAAGTACTTGAGAGTTTCTAGTAGGTGCCTAAGTACAGTGATTTGATCTTGAACTTCGACACCGCCGAGTTTTCGAAAGAGGGCTCGTTTTTCTTGTCCTCGAGCGCCACGGACATCGAGTCTGACGTACACCACGTCATTATGACTCGACATATATGTACCCCAATCTATACTGAACTTGTCCGTGACCGCTTTGCTACCAGGTCGGCCATTCACCTCAACCAGTACCGGAAATGCGGCGTCTCGAAGCTCTTCTCTCCAAGACGGTGGCAACAAAAGCTGCACTTGCGCGCTCCACCCTTGGGGCAATGTTATCTGCACAAAAATTTATACAAACATTATTAATGAGTGCGCGATTAATGAAGAAGTTTTTTCTTTTTTTAATGTTTATTTAATTATTTAGATAAAAAGATGTTATTTTTAAACATTTTTTGACCAATATATTTGTCATCATCATAAAATTTTTATATGGCGCGTTTCGACTAAATTTTTGTGTCCTCATCTTTCGATTTAAAAATATTTTTTTTTTAGTTAATTTTAAAAAATGTTCCAGTCAGAAAAACTGCTAACTAGCAGAGCAGAGCTGCTAAAAATTTAGTTGTGACGTATAAAAAAAAGTCAGACAATTTTTAAACATTCGCTTTAATATCAAATAAGTTCGCTTCGTATACGAGATCCTCGATTTCGGTGCGAGTGTCTTGTCACATTTATCTGATTTTTTAGTAGTAAAATATTTTTTACCAACGACTGATAAAACAGATTAGACTGATTTAATCGATGATAATTCTCAGTCAAAACTATTTTATCGGCTGCTGATAAAACAGATTAGACCAATTAAATCGATAATAATGCTTGGTTCAAAAAACTGTTTTACCTACTGCTGATAAAACAGTTTAGACTGTTTAAAACTGTTTTAACGAGTTTTAATAACGTAGAGTTGTTTGATTATCAAATACGCAGTAATTCCACAGACAAAACTATTATACCGATTGCTGGTAAAACTTATTTGACGGTTTACATAAATTTAAAACAGTTTTACCGACTGCTGATGAAACAGATTTCATGGATTACATCGGTAAAACAGTTTTCAAATAATTATTTAGTGATTAATTAATTAAATTAATAAAAAATTTAATTATTAATTGAATTGCTTCCTCATGGAGGAAGTATTGTTTTCGCGAAATTTTTCGAACTCATTTTTTTGACATATCTTTATGTTTTTTGACCTCAGGAATCCAAAAATGACATTTTTAGAAAATGTCATTCCGTATGTGTGTGTGTGTGTGTGTGTATATACATTACATTTTCATAAATATCTCAAATTCTATAAGAGCTTTAAGGCTGAATTTTTTTTTTAAATTGTAGATCTCACTTGGGGACATAAAATGAGAAAACTTTGGGACAAATTAATACATATTAACTATATTTTTTTTGACTTAAAATTTTTGAAAAATCGTTTTTTGCCCATAACTTGAAACACATGTTTTGAAAGTTGGGATGTTTTTACTTAATTTTGTAGAGTTTTTTAAGACGCATTTTTTGAGCTATTGATGAACAATCTGCTATCATTTTATCCAAAGTTATTGACATTTTAAAAATCATAAAAAATCGTTTTTTGCTCATAACTTTAAAAAAATGTTATGACACTTACAGTTTTTTTAGTTTCATTTTGTAGAGATTTTCAAGACGCATCTTTTGACCTATTAACGAACATTTTACGATTACTTTATCCAAAGTTATTGACATTTTAAAAATAAATAATATTGATAAAAACCTGTTTGCATTTTTTGTTCAAAAATCTTTATGTATCTGTAAAATCATTATAATTAGATTAGAAAGCTTTTTCTTGGTGATAAACTTTTTTTAATTTTTATGCAAAACATACCCAAAACTTTTATTATTCCTAATATAGGGTGAATGCGCTAGTAGTCGGACACTTAAGGATACGATCTCATATTATGCTTTTTTTCTTGAAATGACAAATAACTAGAGTTTTTTCAAGTTTAATTAAAAGTTTCAAGTTTTTTTAAATAAATATAAATAAAAAATCGTAAACTGATCGCAAAATATCTCCATGAGGAAGCAAAGTGTTCATGGAATGAACACAAAAATACATACTTCAACTTGGCAGCGGTTTTTATTTTTTGTTTCAGGTAAAGAGTGGGGATTTTTTTTAATTCATTAAAATTTTTGCAGTTTTACATTATACGGGAGTGTTCGAACTTAGTGAAAGTAACTGTTGTTTAATTTATATAATTAATGTAAAAAATATTTTCTTTTTGGGAGTGTTAATTTGACATTTTTATAATCGCAAACGAAATTTTCTTAGGATGTTTAAAAACTTGTTTTCGTTGTTTGTCTGTCGTTACATAAATATGAGACAACACGTTTCGCGCGCGTCCGAATTATAATTAAAACCGTGATCATTTTTTTTCGCGAATATTAAAAGTTTATTTTAATTTGTGAAGAGGGGATGGGGAAGGTAAGTTGAATTCATTATACCAGGAAGTCTCTAATAGGCCTATATCAGTAAGTTCTTTTTATTTTCAATAATGCATGATATATTTTTAATTTATATACCTATTAATTTCTACACTGCAAAAACTGTCCGTCTTAAAAGTGCAAAATACGTATTGTTTTAAGACGTTTTCCGCGTTTAAGACACAAAATATTTCTTAAAACAAGACGTGTTTTGTAATTTTAAAACGTACAGTTTTTACAATGTACCAATTTATTTACTTTGAAATTATAAAAGGGTAAGAATTCCTGAAGTGGCCCCCTAATATTTTTTGTGTAATAGAAAAAAGTGATACTCATATATTTTAGTAGTCCATGATGTCACTAAAAAACCCCTGAAACGATTTTTCAAAATTCGAATTTTTTCATAAGTTATAAACAATTAAACTTTTTTGCAACGTTTTGGAAAAAATTCTGTATCTTGAAATTGGCCGAACCGATTTTAATAAAAATTGGTTTGGAGAAAGATTAAGATACGTACTTTTGATAAATAAATAAATTATGAATAAAAAGTATAATTTGTTTAAACAAATTATATTGTTAATTTTTAACTTTATAAATTAACAATGTTCTCAGTCGATTTTTCCAATTTTTTTTATAGCATCATAAAAAGGGGCTTTTCACGATTCCATGACAAAAATAAAAAAGTGGGATTCTCAAAAACTTTAGAAGATACAGAATTTTTAGTCTTAACGCGCGCGAGTTTTCTGAGTAGCTCACGCATACGGCACGGCATCTCCCGCGCGCTCCGCGCCAACCAAGACTCCATATAAGAGTTCCCGATTATAATATTTTATTAACTCAATTAAACTGAACAGTTGTTTATATGTATTTTATTATTCATATCATTTTTTTAATAATTAATAATTTTTGGCTTATAAAACGTTTTCGTTTTCTTTAATTTGTTGATGGCTGCTTTGCACGAAAAACAAATGAACTGTCCTATTAAATTTTTAAATCTATAATTCCACGAATTAGGCACTTTCACAAGATTTTTATAAACTGCTTTATGTTCGTTTTTTTTCAACGGGTTGCAGCAAGTATTTGCTTTTGGGATATTTTAAGATTTGTTTTTATATCACATACGCGAAAAAGTAAAATTTTTAATATACAACGTGAAAAATACTAATCGAAACAACAAACACGGACTTACATTTATGTATACGTAAAGAAAATACTATGATCTAAAAACGAAATTATCATGTTAGGTGAATGACCAGACGATTGTCGCGATTCTTTTGTTTTCACGTGAAAACGCGCAAATTTTCATTCAGTGCGCATAAACGTGAAATTTGTTAAAATTTTGACAGCAAACGTTAAACAATGCGGTCTAGAAAAATAAAACACGGATTCGCAATAATATATTTTATTATTCATTGATACATAAACAAAGCAATTAAAAATCGTTGAAAATTTATCATTAAAATTAAATAATCAGAAACTTATTATAAACAGAAATTTTATAAATAATAAAAATTATTAAATATAAACAAAAATGATATGAATAATAAAATACATATAAACAACTGTTTAGTTTAATTGAGTTAATAAAATATTATAATCGGGAACTCTCATGGAGTCTTGGTTGGCGCGGGGCGCGCGGGAGATGCCGCGCCGTATGCGTGAGCTACTCAGAAAACTCGCGCGCGTTAAGACTAAAAATTCTGTATCTTCTAAAGTTTTTGAGAATCCCACTTTTTTATTTTTGTCATGGAATCGTGAAAAGCCCCTTTTTATGATGCTATAAAAAAAATTGGAAAAATCGACTGAGAACATTGTTAATTTATAAAGTTAAAAATTAACAATATAATTTGTTTAAACAAATTATACTTTTTATTCATAATTTATTTATTTATCAAAAGTACGTATCTTAATCTTTCTCCAAACCAATTTTTATTAAAATCGGTTCGGCCAATTTCAAGATACAGAATTTTTTCCAAAACGTTGCAAAAAAGTTTAATTGTTTATAACTTATGAAAAAATTCGAATTTTGAAAAATCGTTTCAGGGGTTTTTTAGTGACATCATGGACTACTAAAATATATGAGTATCACTTTTTTCTATTACACAAAAAATATTTGGAGGCCACTTCAGGAATTCTTACCCAAAAGAGAAGGTTAAATAGTCATAAATCTTTTTGTAGAAAAAAATATATTATAGGTGCAAAAAAAACTGGGGATTTCCGTTGATCATGCATCTGACATCGAATTTTCAAAATTTTAAATGGGTTAAATATGAGGGACTTTTTTTGTTTGCTTAAAATTCTTTACTTGAGGATTTACAGGGTCGCTGGTTATAAATCTAATCTAAACCTTATAGGGTCAGTCGGGGTAAATCCGAACGGGGGGTAAATCCGAACGCTAATTATTTCAGCTTAATTAAAATTTTTAAAAATAAGTTCGATATGAGAATTTTTACCTCAGATCCTCTTGAAGAGATTCTAAGTATTATCCCATTTTTTGTTTGTTAATTAGCAACAGCATAAACAAAGATAACAAGTATTGCAAAAAAGATTGAAAATCAAAGATGACACTCTTTCAGTATTTTGTCTCGTATTTGAAGAAAAAGAAGCTAAAAATTCATTTTATTATTTATAATTGTTTGTTATGAATACTAGAACAGAAACTATATTTGATTTTTGCCTTCTGTAAAATTTTATTAATAATATCAGACCGTTCGTATTTACCCAAAAAAATTGGAAAACTGGGGTAAATCCGAACGGTATTTTTAATAATTTTTTTTTACATCAAAGCCACACAAAATTGTTTTTATTTGATTACACTATTATTTTAACATTATAAAAGTACATAGAAAAAAGTTTTTCTTTCTATACGTATCCTCGTTAGTAATTAATAAGCAGAAACTTAATCTCTGTTCTCTCGAAGGAGTGTTTCAATTTTTTTGCCAAATGGTTTGTTGAAAAAAGTTTTTCAGGATCTTAATAAAATTTGGTATTCTACGGTTTTTGGGGTCGCTAATTACCAATTTGAAGTCAGTTTTTCAAAATTCAAAATGGCGGACGAGAATTAAAAAATTCATTGGATTCGCTCGAAAATTGTTACTCGGGGGGTTTCAGGGTTAGCAAATTTGATCATTTTTAAAAATAAGTTTTAGGAAAGTCCGCCATTTTGAATTTAAAAAATTTGACTTTTATTTTTGTATTTACATTCAATCACTCCAAAATACTTTCTGTACCAAGTTTTGCAAAAATCCGTTATGATTTGATAAAGTTATTGAAGGTTTTAATTGTGTAATGCATTTTAATTTTTAACCTGTTTGATTTTTGTATTTATATATGATGCATTATTACATAATAGGTTTATTATCGTATTTTTTTTGAGTTTTTACATAAGTTTAACAATTGCAATACTTTAAATTTATTTTCCCTAAGATTTTTCTGAAATACAGTGGCGTTCGTATTTACCCCCATATTTTAGGAAAGTTACAAAGTATCGAGGTAAATACGAACGCTAAGTTTCCTGCGATTGTAATTTATCAAAAATTTTTTTTACCCCATAAAATTGTTCTATGGAAGTAAAGTAACAACTTCATGCACCAGAATACCGGAAGTATTTTTTTTTAAAGAAAAAACTTATGTTATTGTTGAAACTTACTAAAAGCGTTCGGATTTACCCCAGTTGACCCTAATACTAATTAATAAATAAGTATTACAAATTAATTAAATTTAGAATTGTAAATTCATTAAATAGGACATTGAATCGACTATAATTTTTAGTAGGATTAACTTTTTAAAAAGTATATGAATTTTTCTCTGATTTATAATATATAATTTTTTTCTTCTTTCTTTTTATTAAAAATAGTTCATAAATTACTATTTTATTGTAATTATTTTCTTCCAGTTATTAGAAATGACGAATTATTATAAAATTGAACAGATTTGAAAATATTAACGTGAATATTCACATTTTGAAATAAATCACTTATAAAAGCATCAATTATATTTTAAAATATGCTTCAAACACGATGGAACATGATTTGAAAATATGGTGAATTCATTCGAACGGTAGCACTTTCAAGTAATATTGACAAATTTTATTGGCTTCCGAGTGTGTTTTCAGAATAAATATCTTCACATTTCTCTCACTAAAGTTGTTTTTAGGTTCGTGAGTGAAAAAGTAAATATTAAAAGGGTAGGGGACGTTTTCATTAACAGTGACTTCAAAGACTCTCTCGAGTATATTTTCAAAAAAAAAAAAAAAAGAAAAAAAAACTTTTTTAACGTTTCGCATTTCTAAATACTCTTTGCTTTATAGAGGGACTTGTTTAAAATTCCTTTCCACGTTGTCGGAGCTATTATATATATTTGTTTAAATATTCTACTAGATGGAGTGAGATATAAATGTGATATAATGAAAATAGTTTGTGTTGTATACAAAGGATGAATACCTCAAAGCTTCTTCTCGTTGGAAGTGCCAGTTGTGATAGTCGGTCCCCACGCTGTATTCTGGTATCATAAAGGACTCGTACCATTTTGTGAGTTGTTACAGAATGAACACCAGCTAGAGGGAGGCCAGGACCTTCACAGTGCAGGACATAAAATCCTTGACCATTATCTTCCACTGGGGGATTCACGGATGCACCAAAGTGTGTGCAATTTGTGTAGTATAATCTGGGGAGAAATAATTGTATTTAAAATAACATTTCATTTTACCTTGATAATGTTTAATCTCTACTTTTTTCAATTAATTTTTAAATTACAATAACTTCATGCCTTTTTTTTTATAAATTACTCTCCACAAATTTGTATTAGTGAGAATTCGTTAACTAATTTAAATTAGTGAAAATTTCTACTAATTTTTAGTTATTTTTCACTAAAACTTTGGTAAAAAAAAATATTACTGAATCAAGTATATTTTACTAAAAATTAGTTCACTAGGTAGGAGAAACTAGGGCTGAAAGTGACGGAGGTAAGTTGTGCCGATAGGAATATCTCAAAAACAAAAAACAAAATTTTGAAAAGTGAAAGTGAGAGAAAGTAGTGCTTCACTCCTGCGCACTACTTCTCTCACTTCCACTTTTCAAAATTTTGTTTTTTGTTTTTGAGATATTCCTATCGGCACAACTTACCTTCGGCACTTTCAGCCCTGGTTTCCCCTATTGATGTATACTTATTAATCCACATTAATTTTTGATTTTACATTGTCAGGAACGGTTCTATCGCAGGTACGACAAAAAATTACAAATTTTACATTCTCACTTTGGTATTTTCTGGTAACAATAAATAATAATTTAAAAACAAAACAAAAATTGTTCCTTTTAGTTAAAATATTATATTTTTAAATGTAAAAAGTGTTTTTTTAAAATTTATATTAAAAAATGCCAAAGAAATAGTTAATAGCCTATATTCTGCGTTCTGAAACGGATATCTGCCGTAATTTATGATAATTAGGAATATATTGATGTAATTACAATATACTAGGCAATATTATGCTAATTTTAATATAATTTTACTACTTTTGAATGGAGTTTGGTGGTATATAATAAATTCATATTCAGTAGAAATAAACTTCAAAGTTTGCAAACTATCCTGTTATTCTTGCAGGAGTGAAGTTTTGTGGTTTGCAGAAGTTTCCTTTAAAATAATGTTTGTGAGCATTCCGTGGCAGTCCATGTGATGCATGGATCTAGCGGTACGGTGTCTTTTTCTTCTACTTTTTTTTTTGAAATATCCTAAGTTTCTTGGAATACGAGATTTAAAGTCTTCAGGTCTGGCCATTATAAAGAAAGAGAGACAAGCATGAACTTTTAATTAATGCAAAATCAAACAAAAAAGTCTAGTCAAGCTTCAACTTGACCAAGATCTTTCCACCTCATGAAAATTTGATCTTTCAATTTTGTCTTGTAAAGTTTAAATTGCGTGATAGTATTACACGACGAAAAAGTTTCGATACTGAATGCGAAGTTTTAAAAATTTAATTAACTTTATAAATTAAGATTGTTATATTTCTTCCTTCTTTTCGTATATATAGAAGGAAGTTGGTAAAAATTTTCAATTGTGATTTTTTGCCTAAGGAATTTAAAATTGAATTCAATTTTGAAATTGGAAAATTTTACTCCCAAATTTAATGATGTTTGAATCTTTGATTTTTTTATTTATACTAACCGACTACTCCATAGAGCCTCCCCAAGATCACAAGTGATGCACAATGGTTCCGAATGTCGAGAATTATCGGCTTTTGGATCTCGCACTACATAAAGATGTTTTTGACCTGGTTTATTTTCCCTAGTTCCTAAGTAATAAACTAAATGTGATGAGGTGTCCCATGAGAGAATTTCACTGACCTATGGAGAAAATTTCGTTTAAGAAAAAGGGAAAAAAGTATAGCGGAATTATCATGCAAAATTGACTATTGCCCCAAAAAAGCTAAAACTCATGTCACATGTGATAACAATATGACAAAAAATTCCACCAAATATTATTTTAAAAAATGCATTTTTGTAGGAGCTGTGTTTCATTGAAATCGGTTCGTTAGATTCCGAAAAAAATTAATTTTTTGATTTTGCTTTCTCCCTTTATTTTTTTTAGACAATATTTGGTGAAATGTTTTATTAAATTGTTATACTATTATGTAACATGAGTTTCATCTTTTTTAGGGACAATTTTTTATGTTTATTCTGCTGTAAAAATAATTTATATTTTTATTAAATATTTAAAATTAAGATACATACCTCATAACGACCGTGAGATAGAACAGCGATCCTCTTCTCTGTCAGGGTGACATGTTTAATGTGAGTGAAGTGTTCTTGGCTTCCCTCTTGTACAGATGCCAGGAGCAGGAAACTGTCTCCATCGGGTGCGAAAACGGGATGCGGTTGAGCGTCCAGCCACTGGCCTTCCGGAGCCCTTTCCGTGTGAGTTTCCTCACACTCCCAGTTTGGTGCTCGACAGGCTGATACTACAGACAAGTTCTGCGACCTTGTCATCCAAACCACCGCAACTTGCAAAGAATCCTCACCTATCCATCCAGCTGAGATGATATAATATTCCCTGAAATTGATCAATCTTCATTTTAATCTCTTTCTTTTTTTCCTTTCTACTATATAAAAGGTTAATTTATGTTTTTCATTTCATTATTAGCGATCATTTTTTTCGAATCAAATTACTTCAAAATAACCATTGATCGAGAAAACCGGGAAATAGCCTGGAATTAGTGAATCAAATTACAGACAAGTATACGGTTTTGAGAATCAATACTAATTTTTTTTTCATTGTAACTAATTTATCTTACTTGTAGCTAATATTATTATAAATGACCCTTAAAAATTTATTTATCTTAATAATAATTAACAAATCTATATGTACTTTTTATAATTTGTGTTTATAGTTTGCACCGCGGTTTGCATTAAAATTGAAAATCCTGTTTGACCTGTTTAGACGTAGTAAATAATTGTGAGAATGAAAATTTTTAAATTTTCTATAAGCTACACGCAGAGTATTAGGACTTTCTAGCAGTACACTACTTGTATTTATTTCGCACGCCCTCTGCCGTCAAGTTTTAGTACAACCAAGCACTGTATTTGCACGGTTCCTTACTAAATTATACAAATACTGTGCTTGATCGTTACCAAAAATTGACGACAGAAGACGTGCAAAATAAATATGTACTGCTAGAACTTTTCTCCGTATAAATATAGCTTCAGGAATTCTCTATTAATTTAATTTACGATTAAAAAAAACTTTGAGTTTGTCTGTTATGATTTGTTTGTTAATAATTTGTCATGTATACGATTTCGATAAATTAAAAACAATATTTTTTCTCACACTTAACAAATGACAAAAAAATAGTATTATACACGAGAAGAAAAAGTGTTTTTTTTTTATTTTTAGTATCGGACTTTTAATGATGATTTTGTAATTTTTAAGGGGAGGCACCACCCCCAATTTTGACCCACTTAAATTTAAATTATTAAATGAGGTTATATTTTTTTTCATGCCTCATTTGGGTCCTAAAAACATATAAGGTGGTCAAAAAAAGAAAATTTTAATTTTTGACCATTTTAGAATTTTTATTTTTTGAAAAAATTAATATTTTTGAAAATCCATGCGAGAGATTCTGACAAATCATTAAAAAAGTGTGAAAAAAATTTGACGATGAAAAATACTTGAAATTGTGAAAGAAGATATATATTTAATAGTAGAGAGCAATGATGTTTTAACTTATATTTTTCGCTCTTTTTTTGAAAAAATTAAAATTTTTGAAAATCCATGCGAGAGATTCTTAAGAATCATTAAAAAAAAAGAGTGGAAAAAAATTGTCGATGAAAAATAGTCAAAATTGCAAAAAAAGATAGATATTTAAAATATTAATTTTTTTAAGACTTTAATTTCTAAAATGGTCATAAATTAAAATTTCATTTTTTGGACCATTCTGTATGTTTTTAAGACCCAAATGATGCAAGAAAAAAAATAAAACCTCGTTTAATAATGTAAATTAAAGTGGGTCAAAATTGGGGGTGATGCCTCCCCTTAAAGTCTAACAAATAATAAAAATTAGTCAACTGTTATTTTTTAAAAATAGTATTAAAATATTTTTAACACTTTTTCTTCCTGTGTATATTATATTACAATTAAAAAATATAATTTCAAAGTATATTAAATATGTCGAAAGGATTTTGCAAATTTTATTACTTTTATACCTGCATCTCGAGTTTGTATGTTGACATTGAAGTACAATGGGTATTTTAAGCCGAAGGTCATAAACAATGTGAATTGAAAATCCCAAAGATAATATAAAATTCAATCAGTTGCAAATCGTGTCTTGACGTGATTAGACGTGGTCAACGTGAGTGTAAATTTTAAAATCAAAAGTTTGCTGTATTAAAATATAATATATTTCCTTTATTCTCTTTTACTTTATGTTTTTATATTTGAAAGTGAATAACTTAGGGAGTGCACGAATCTTTTAATACGCGAATTAAATAAATTTTTGACATTTTTTTAAAAATTATTTTAGTAAATTTTTTGGGTGGTTCCGGGAGTGTGCGAAATTTTTAAAATCGCGATCGTTTAAATATTTAGAAAAAGTATTTTGTTTCTTAAAATTCAAACGTGGTTCCGGGAGTGTTTGAAATTTTTTAAATCGCGTATGTTTTTGCAACGTTTCATGGTCTAAAATACAATGATACATCGAGTACAGGATAAGGTTAGAGATATATTTTTTTTATAAATAATAGTTACATGCAATTGTTATTTCACTAAAAAATTTAAAAATTTTACGTTAATTTCTTAATTTACAAGAAGTTTAGTACTATTTTGAAGATCACGAAATTATCTTGTAAAAGTATTAATTACAATTTATAATTAGAGAATTTTTTATAAAAATTGTATTTTTGTTTAAAATTTATTTAGAAAAAAATGATAACATTAAATTTTAATTTTCAACAATTTCTTTTAACATGCTATTAAAGTTCTTGTCCACAAAACTGATCATGTAATTATATAGACTAATTTTGTTGTGATTAATAATTCTAAACATCTTACTAACATATTTTTTAGTTTTCTTTACTATATTTTGAAATTAAAATATTATGTTCAAGTTTATTTTATATATATATATATATTTATTTGTTGGTCTTGTGTTATTCTAAATTTGTATGTAATATGAAAGAAGCACTAGTAATGCTGCGGGTACTAAATTGATAATTGACGGTAATCTGTGTCAGCACTCAGAACGAGCAAAGTGTTTTGCTCACTTACAGACGCTGTTATACTTATGCATACTCGATGTTAACAAGCATTGTTATATTGATATTTACAAAAAAATTAAAAATTCTCATACTTAGGTATATACTATAGTAAATCCATATTTATAAATAAAAAAAAACATTTTTTCTTTTTATAAAAAAAAATTCAGAATTTTAGAATGGGTATTTTTAATAAAGTAGAAAACTTGTATCTATCTATTGATAATTTTCAAATTTTAAGTAAAAAATTCCGTTTCTCGGTGCTTTAGAAGCAATGACAGTTATAATAAAAATGGGTGCAAATATTTCAGTGTGGATTATATTCGTCATTATTTATAGGTTAGAAATTCGTTTTAATAAAAATCATAAAATTTCCTTATCTCGAGGTATCGTATAAAAAGTGAAATATTATCTTTTAAACATTTATATTTTTGTTAATATTTCAATTGTTTAATCTTTTCAATCCCATAATTAGGACACTTGATAAATAGCTACAAGAGGTACTGCACCTATGGTTTTCAGGGTCGCTGATTACGAATCTGAAGTCAGCTATTCAAAGTTCAAAATGGCGGTTCCAATATGGCGGACGACTTTATTAAAAATTAATACAATCAGCTTGAAAATGGTTATTCAGAGGTTTTTGGGGTCGCTGATTACGAATCTGGAATGAGTTTTAAAAAATTCAAAATGGCGGATCCAATATGGCGGACGATGAAATTAAAAATTGAACAAATTTGCTTAAAAGTTGTCACTCGAGGGTATTGAGAGTCGCAGATTACAAATTTTAAGTCATTTTTTTAAAATTCAAAATAGCGGATTCAATATGGTGAACGATGAAATCAAAAATCAAACAAATTTGCATGAAAGTTGTCACTCGATGCTTTTTGGGGTCTCTAATTTCGAACTTAAATTTAGTGACAACTTTCATGCAAATTTGTTTGATTTTTGATTTCATCGTCCGCCATATTGAATCCGCTATTTGATTTTTTTAAAAATGATTCAAGATTCGTAATCAGCTACCCCAAAAACCCCTGAGTAACGATTTTCAAGTAAATTAGATTGATTTTTAGAATTGTCGTCCGCCATATTGGATCCACCATTTTGAATTTTTGAAAACGCACCTCAGATTCGTAATCGGCGAACCCAAAAACCCACGAGTGACAACTTTCAAGCAAAGTTGATATTTTTTTACTTTTTCTTATCCCCGCCATATTTGATCCGACATTTTGAATTTGCATATACGATTTGAGATTCGTAATTAGCATACCCGAAAATATAAAAAGCACCCCTGATTTCAATTATAAGTTAGTAACTTAATTTTATTACAATAAAGGTTAACTTGAAATGAATACCCGGATCAAATAACTCGACCGACGCTCGGACGAACGCTTTATTACCAGTCAAGTAGAAGTGACAGCCTGTGGGCGGCTCACTGCTACCCGACTACCATTAGAGCGTGCGTCCGAGCGTCGGTCGAGTTATTTGATCCGGGTATTCAAATAATGTGTTGCCGTATATAAATATGTTAATAACAAAAAAGTATAAATAATATAGATTTATTTGTTACAAAACTACTAAATACTAATTGTAGAAACTTGAAAATGAAAAGTATGCAATTATTTAAAATTTTACTTTAAACTATTTTTAATAAATTGATGGCTTTAAAGGTGGTCGATATATCGACAACTGGGACTGAAAGAGTTAAGGAAAAAAATCCGATGCAATAAGTATATTGTCATTTGATTTTTGTTTCGATTAGAAAAATTTTATTTTGGTAAGACATTGAATACTTGATATTTCTAATTGTATTGTATTCTTATCCCTAAAAATGAATCCATCGCGAAAAAAATGTTAAATTATTCAATTAACTTACTGTCCATCTAATGCAGGAGGTGGTCTTAGTCTCATTTTTATAGGTTGCATTGTATTGGTAACATTGGTAAAACTGGTGTTATTATTTATGTCAATTATCCAGAGATCAACCTCGGGATTTGGTGAACCAGGAGTGGGATATCTGATGGTTCGTGATGGTGGGAAAGTGCCTCGCTTAGTGGCCGTCGTTGGAATACCACCAAAGCCATTTTGACCGATTTGTGTTCCAAACCATGGGAACTCGAGTTCAGTGACTTTGGTGTCATTGAAACTCGCAAAGAGAATATGCGATCCATCTGGACTTGACCATATTGCCTCGGGTCTTGGTAAAACTTCTTCCTGATAAAGCCAATCGGGAACACCGTTGTACACTACTCCTGGCACTCCAGTGTCTGTCAAGCGAGCGTCCTCCGTGGCCGAAGGCGAGATTCTCAGATAAATGTCGTTCTCCGATATCATGAGGAGGGTTGTCGTGTTCCCAAGCCAGGACGCATGCTGAAGGCGCGTCTGATAGAGCTTCGAAAAACTGTGGAGGCGAAGTGGCATATGATGGCTGTGGAGAATTCAGAGAATGTCATCACGTTTTCTTCTTTTTTTACTCCTTTTTTTATATAGGGATTTTGATTTTTCATCTTTTTTTTCCTCTACTTACTCGTTTGTGACGTCGTACACCGTGTAATGAGCAGTAAAGGTGTGCCGGAATACCTGTAAAACATAAGAAAATTAAACTCCAAATGATTTTTATTTAATTTTCTAGAAAATTTATTTTTCGAACATGAATTACGTTGAATTTTTTTAAAATAATGCCTCTATCTTTGAACCTTATACAGTAGGAAAATCGAATAATTCTTTTCAATCGAGTCTTTATCTTAAATCTACCCTTTTAACCCGGATTTACTTTGAATGCATTAAATCCTTGCGATTTCTTTTGAGAGTTTAACTTTATGACATTTCCTTTAAAAGAATGTTAAACTTTAACTCGTCAGTCATAAAATTTAATACTAAAACACTAAATTTCCGTATATAGAAAAAAATGTACATGTACTTTTGAATTTTTTATTTTTAAATTATAAAAAGTTTCTTTATCATATAGAATCAATGCTAATGTTATAAGTCGATATAGCTATTAATAAATATGTCACTGTGGATTAAGTTTAACATCCCTTTGAGGATTACAGTAGTAAAAGGCAGTTAAAATCAGACACAACTCATGATTTTTTTTTACATGTTTCAATATGAACGATAAATGTGGAATTTACTCGAGTCGAAATTTAATCCCTCTTTTCAACCTATTTTCCCTCGAAATTTTAAGGTGTAAAGAGAGTAAAAAGAGGTTTTAGTTTATATAGAAATTCAACCCTCTTTTCAACCTCGAACCGTGCGGTTATTTCCATTTCTGTATAAAACCTCATAAATCCTTCAGCGTCTTTTATTCATAGCGCATGCGTTTTTAAGTACGCACTAATTATAATTTAAAAACCATTCAAATATCAATATTATAACTATTGATTATTATTTGTTAGAAATATATTTACATAGAAATTTTTCAAATTACAGATCTTGTATATGTCTGCATTTCTGTAATTGTTGATGACAAGATACACATTGGATTACGACTAAATGAAAAAGGGTTGGAATAAAATTGAAGCATTATTTTATTTATTTTCTTGCAAATGTAAATATATATATGTGACGCTCCACGAGAAAAGGGACCTATCGCGACAAAACAGAATTATACAGGAAAGGTGTTTAAAGTCGAACGTTCTGATTGGCTGAGACGCGCCAGCGAAAATCAGCCCCACTACCTTACTACTACATCGTTCCTACGTCTCACGGATACAACAAGTATACTAGTGTAGTGGTGGTGGGGATGGATTCCGTAGTCCGTGCTGGAACGCGATTGACAGGGTCATTTTAAAGCTTTATTACAAAAAAAGTAATTAGAAAAACATTATTTTTGGCATTTCTATTTGAAAGAGCAACTCAAATACTATCGATTCGCATATAAAACTGGAAATTAATTTTTTGTCGCGATAGGTCCCTTTTCTCGTGGAGCGTCACATATATATATTACTATAAAACCTCATGAGACGTTTTACAAGAGTTGAAAGAGTTATTGAAAGTATGTAGAGGTAGAGGGTTTCAGAATTTCAATAAAAATTTGTAGGATAAAAAGAGTGTTAAAAGAGGGTGTGTAAGAGTCATCCCAGATAGCACGTAACTTTGCGGCAACCTTGCCGCGCAATATTGCCAACCTTGCACGGCAATCTTGCCGCAAGCTTTAAATGTCCCACCTGACTCAAGCTTGCATGGTAAGCTTACCGAAAAATTGCAGTGTAAGATTACTGCAAGATTGCGGTGTAAGGTTACTGCAAGATTGCACAGTAAGATTATCGCAAGCTTACACCGCAATCTTGCAGTAATCTTACACTGCAATTTTTCGGTAAGCTTACCATGCTTGCGGCAAGATTGCCGTGCAAGGTTAACAATATTGCGCGGCAAGGTTGCCGCAAAGTTACGTGCTATCTAGGATAGGAGGATTTCGAGGTTCAAGTAGATGCAATAGAGGTTCGATTTACTACTGAAAAAACTTAGACAAATTCTTATAATTTTTGTGTCAGTACACCCCAGAGAAATATTTTATTGGCGTTTATTTAAGACAAATAAAATTTATTTGAGAAAAGTAAAAATATATATTTCTCACAGAGCCTAAAAACTTTTTATTTGTTCTAAATAAAAAAATATGAGATAAGCAGGCGCATGGCGTTTCCATTGTAGGGTTTTGTGGCCTGCCAAGGTAACGTTTACTACCATGGTAACGGTTGCTATGGTAACCATACGAGTGTACAACGGACGGACGGACGCCATGAAACCCTAAAAAATTATTTAGGACAAATAAAATTTTTCTTTATCTCAAATAAAATTTATTTTAAACAAATAAATATTTATTTGGTTCTGAGACCATCTTTTCTTTTTATTTTTTCTATGGGTGTAAATAAAGTTAGTAAGATAAGTAGATAAGTAGTAAAAGACAATTTTAAGTCAGGCAGAAGTATTTTTATTATCAGTAGTGAACGTAAGTTATTTTAGTCAGATACATTGGTCTAAATTCTTATAATTTTAGGTTAAATTCATTTGTTTTCGGATCAGAAATTTAAGAATTTTTTTAAAATTTGTTATACCACAATTAATTAATCTTTACGTAAGATTTTATTTTTTATCCTTTTTCTCCATTTATCCATTTAAAAAAATGGTGAGTAAATAAGGAACTCCTCTTTTCTAACTAAATACTATAACCCAATACTTGAATAGTCTCTTACAATGATGGATATGAAAGAATATTGACACTCTTTTAAGTATTTTTATTCTTTGACGTTTAAATCGATCAAAATGTTCAAGGAAGTATCAAAGAAATGTATAGTGAATCTTCCTTTTTAATATTAAAGACAAAGTGTTATAAATCCTCGAATCCAATTTCTTGACTTTATAGCTCTTCTTATTTGCTTTTTATATATGTGCTTGAATAAATTGACTTTAAAATCAAGAAAATAAGGCAATAGTGAATCATGCAACAGAATGTATATATCTGAATTGACATTAAAAAGCAATTGTTTTTTTTTCTTATTTAAACAGATCATTTACATATTTGTTTTATAAATTCTAATTCATGACTTGATTGTTTTTAGGGTTCCTCTCAACAAAATTTTTATATATATATATAACTTTCGCTAAAGAGAGGAACAGAAATAAAGTACTTAAAAGAGACTTAAATCACGTCGCATGGCTTAAACGACTTTAAAGTATACTCTTGATCGTTGTTGTTTCGTTCCACTACAAGTAACAATGCTTCATAACTACAACATTATACGGTGAGGGATAGAAAATTTAGAAGGAAGAGAACACTTAAAATACTTCAACTATAGCAAGAAATCGTTTCATTTGCGATGTCATTAAACAAATCCGACATTCAACGGCTTATATTTAATTATTTTACAAGTAGGTACACAAAAACGTTTTAAAGTCAAATAATTTGATATTATTGCAAAAATTTTATATAAAATTTACAGAATCTATTTAAAAAAAATTTATTTTCTTTCTGTAATTTTTTTTTGTATTTAATAAGTTCTTTTTTATGGTAAAATAAAAGAATTAAAGGAGGTTTTTTTTCTTTTGTTATATGACGAGTCTAATTCTATTGTGGAAAAGTTGTTTGATAATAGTGAGGTTTTTTTTTGTTTCGTAATTTTCAGCAAATAATGTATTTCTGACAAAAAGAACAATTTTCAAATACCCCCGCATACATTCGCGGTTGAGTTTATCTCATGAAATGCTCTTGAAGACCTGAAAGCATTTTGTTAGTGGATTATAATATGAGAATATAATATTAAAGTAAGCTACTTACTGGTTTAACATTGTGTTTAAAAAGCACGTAGCGCAAGTCAGAACTGCATTGGTATCCTTGAACATTAAGCTGCCTCTGGAAAAAAAAGTTAAAACATATAATTTGTGACGATTTTTATGAAAGTTAAACTGTCGTGATAGAATTTTTTATACATTATTTGAATTAATTATACCAATTAATTTATTGATATTTTTATTGAAACAAACAAATTTTGTGGTTGTAGCAATTCTAAATTTAATACACTGAGAAAAATGTTTAGTCAGAGCAACCAAAATTTGGTTGGGCCAACAAAAAAATTTTGTTGGTATTTAAGCAACCAAACTATTTGTTTGAATCAACCAAAAATTTGGTTGAATTTTTTTTGTTGGCATACCAAAAATGTTTGGTTAGCACAATCAAATTTTTTTTGTTAGGTCAACAAAAATGTTTGGTTGATCAAACCAACAGTTTTTTTTGTAAAATTAAAAATTTTATTCTACCTTATCTCTTTTCTTTTTATCTTTTTTATTTATTTCATTATTTATTTATCAATTTAACATTGAATTTATATTTATCTAATTGAAATATTTATGGACTTTGAAAAATCTCACCTCCGCCTGGGATCGAACCTCTGTTTTAAAACTGAAGGTCGGGAGATATGACCAATGGACTATCCATCCTTGTGAGAGATTTAAACTAACTGTTCTCTTAAGCTATGAGCTGAGAGCTAATCAAATTATTTGGTTGCTGCAACCAAATTTTGGTTAGGACAACAAACGCTCATTTGGTTTCTTAGACCAAACTATTTTGTTGTGTTAACCAAATTATTTTATTGTCGTAACTAAATTTTGGTTGGAATTTAAAAATGTTCAACCAAATAATTTTGTTGGTCTAACCAAATGTCTGGTTGAGATAACCCTACGACTTTGTTTCAGCCAACCAAAATTTGGTTACAAGAATCAAAATTGCCTAACCAAACAATTTTGTTGCAAACACTAAATTTTTTTTCTCAGTGTAAAAAGTTTATTTTTAAATTAAAAGAAATTTTTTTCTATAACTACACAATTAGAAAAATATGACTGAATTTTCATTCAGTCTAACAGTGTAATTAATCAATTGATTGAGAAAAATAAATTGGCTGGAAAAAACGATTCTCCAACTTATTCTTGTATTTGGTTATTGGTATTTTGTGGAGGATTCAATTTACGATTATATTTCATATAAAAACCACTTTTATTGGTCAGTAAAATTGATTTTTATTGTGGCAAAAGGTGAAACTGTGATGGATTTGCTAACATTTATCACCCCTTTTTTTTATTTCGGTTGTTGAGTATAATATTCGTTAATACACGTTATATCGTTAATTAAAAGTGTAAAAAAGACGTTTAAAACAATGTTTATAATTTGAGGAAGAATCGGAACAAAATTTATAGCCCAACTGTATATTTTTAAAGAAAAAGATGATTTAAATTTTAAAACAGCTTCGGTGAAATTTTAAATAATTTAATTTAAACTATTTTCACAGATAAACAAAAAAGAATAAATGGATCAATTTTTCTAACTAAAAAAAAATTTGCATAATCTCACAAAAATAAAGCAAAATAAGATTTTTTTTCAACCAGAATTTTCTCTCTAAATCATTATTTATAATGTAAAAAAAAGAGGTTTCTTTATTAAAGGTGCTTATAATATATTAAATTATAATGAAAGAAAATGGAAACGAAAGATGTTTATAATTTTAAAAAGGAGCACTTTTTAATGAAAAGAAATTGAGGATTATAAGTATAGAATGGAGCATCATTTTTTTGCAAGTGATCCTTCTTCTCGGCAATCATCCTTTACAGTTGTCCCATTAGAAAGGTTATCTAGTTTCAAGCACCTTGAAATAAAACCAAGTTAAAACTTGGGCCAAGAAAACTGAGTAAAACGTATCACTTTTTTGATACTTTTTTTTGCACTTGCTTTTTTTTCATGACAATTTTGGAACTTTAGTGGCGACATCGGGTGCGGCATCCTAGTGGACGCCAGATCTGTTCGGATCAATGCGGTATTCCCTCGTGTTCCGGTCCCCCGGCTCGAAAACTCCCTCCTCACAGTGTAGTACATGAGATAAAGAAGGGGATGAGGATTTGGAACTCGTCCACGAAACGAGCACCTCCTCCCCCCTCTTCAATTCTTTTTCCTCTCTTTCCTTCTCTCTCTCTCTCTCTCTCTCTCTCTCTCTCTCTTCTTTTCTGTCTCTTTTTCATCATTTTCTTCTTCTTTTCCTCATCCTTATTTTCCGTATCCTCTTACTACGATCTTGGTGAGATCAATTACCCTGGGTTTCTGTTACAGCTCCTTTGCTCTCCTCTCTATCTCTCTCTTCTTTTCTCTTCGAATCTTACCTTCTTCCACTGGTTTTGCAGACTTTGGAAGCAAAATCGAGCTATCGAAGTAGAAAATGCAATACCCTCGAGCTTCCCTTTCCGCATTCACTATATATCTAGTATATACATATATATGGAATACCTTGCATTCCACGTTCTCTACGTTGTATATGTATATATAGGCTTTGTTTTATTTTGAGTTCCAGTAAACGGCACAAAACAAAATGTGTGTGTGTGAGAGAGAGAGAAACTCATGAGTATAGAATTGCAGAAGGCTTGAATTCCATTGTTTGTGGGGGATGAGGTTTTTGAGAGCACGTATTGTGACAAGTCAAAAGGTTTCATGTGCAGCTAATTTGCTTTTCCATTAGCACCCCATTTCACAACAAAATTATTTCCCCTCATCGTGTTCGTAATGTCGATATAATCAATTTCGAATTAAATTGGTAAAACTCATTACACGATCACTATTCTATATATATATATATATATATATATATAAATAAAGTGTTAATGAAGCGTATCAAAAATAAATATTTTGTTTTCATTTTCAGTTTGGATGCACGGAAACTGCTACCGGATGCTACATAATTCTAGTGCCAACACCAACAACGAATAAGGTAACTTACTTTAATGAAATATAAACCTTATAGTCAAGTTATGTTAGTGCATTTGGTTTAAGGATTTATACTTGCGATCACTTTATGAACTTTAAGTTTCTTCATATATAGAGGAATTAACTGACAAAATTACTTTGTTGTTTGTTCAATTAGAAATTAATGCTCGAATTTCACATTTTCACTTTTATTGAGTCTAAAATGCAAGGTAATTAATTGACATTTTTTATTTTAATTCAGCCAATTCAGTATTGTTTTCAGCCAATAAATATATTCATTAATTTAAGAAGAGACCCATGCATAAATTCTAAAAATCATTAGTTAAAATTTTCATTTTATAGAATTTCATTAAACCAATTTTCTATATTACAAAATTTTTATATAATCGAAAATTCACTTAACATAATTTTTATTTGTCAGAATTGATAAGGCAGTATATAAAATCCTATTTAATATATAATTTTTCAAAAATTTCACACTCATACGGTATCGAACCAAGGACCCTTCGCACACGAGCCAGGTACTTAGACCCCACAGCCATGTTAACTTATAGATAAATAAATTTAAATTTTGAAATTCTTTAAAAAAAAATGTAATAAAAGTTCCAATTACATTTCATTACAAATTGTATAATAAGAATTAAAAATAGTAATTAATATAATAATATAAAAATAATATATTAATCACAAATTAATTCACAATATAAAAGAAAAAAAAATTAATTTTTGATTAAGAATTATTGTATATACGTAAAGGTATAACTGAGGGACTCATGAATGGTTTTGCCTGTTGACAGACGTCAACGTCTCTCATCAACGAGCGTCCTAGATCATAAATTATTGAGACATAAGTTAATTCAATGATCGAGATTAGCAGCTGATGTTGGTTGTACATTTTGCACAAAGGAATTCCTGCTCCAAATTGCCAATCAATTATCTGTCTGTACACACACAAACGATTGTACATTTCTCTCGAGTAATATAACCGTGTGCATGCACGGGTAGACGTTTCACATTAGTTTACTATAGGTACTCTGCGCCTAGTATCAGTTTACCTTAGAATTTCTCAAAATCATTTTAATTGAGATACCTATACGTGCCAGCAATTTTCATCATATAGTACAAATTTTGACACTTAAGATTATTCTCTTACTATAGATACAGGCATTCAGAAAAAAATTATATTCCCCTTTAAAGAATTAAAATATTTTTCTACATCATTTACATTAAAAGCAAAAAGGAGACTAGGTTTTTTCTGCGTATAGTAAAAATTGGGAAAAAAGTTTAAATTTTTCTAGAACTTCTAAACTAATCAAAAAATAAATATTTTTATTTCTGACCACCACCCTGTATATTTTTTAGTACTCAAATGATGCAAGAAAAAAAATATAACCTCGTTTGATAATTTAAATTTTAAGGGAATGAAAATTAGTGGTGGTGCCTCACGGTGCGTCAGAAGGTGGTTTAAATAAAAATGAATTGTCACTTAAAAATTCTTTTTCATTATGATTCTTAGATAAATAACAAACATTTCTCAATAGTTTTTAAAATTAGTTAACGTGCCCGATTTAAATGAAATTGAGTTTTTATATAAAAACAGTGTTTTATGGGAATCAGAATTTATTTAATCTAATAAATACTGTAATAAATGATAAAATAATTACTTATTTTCAATTTTACATATAAATAATTATATTGCTGTAGTGTGTGTGTGTGTGTCCAATTTTAAAAAATTAAATTATAATGTTAAAAGAACGATTTTAAGAGTGACAAAATTTATTTAAGAGAGTCGAATGGTCTCTGAAATTTTTTTGGCAAGAAGAGACTTTTTAATTATCGCTCTATAAAAACGTCACTTAACGTGAAAATGATAAACATTGATTTTAAAATACTTTCTTCTCAAAACACGGACACTTTTTACAAAAGCAGCTAGATATCCTTATCTTATATAAATTTCCTAAATCCGAAAGATTATACGAATCCATACAAAAACACGATTGCAAAACGAAAATTAATATAATGAGGGGTTCATTACCTCCTGCCGCGGTCAGATGGCAGCAGCATGCAGGGCGCACAAAGTCGCAGCTGTTATTAGATTACTTTTCTACTTTTTATTTTGCAACCATGTTTTTCTATGGATTTGTACAGTCTTTTGGATTTAGGAAATTTATAAGATGAGGATTTTGGCTGATTTTTTTAAAAGTGTTCGTGTTTCGAGAAAAAAGTATTTTAAAATCAATACTATTTCACGTTCAGAGCGAAAATTAAAGCACTCTTCTTGCCGAAGAATTTCAGATACCGTTCGACACTCTTAATGCATAAATATAAAAGCGAAACAAGAAAATAACTTCATTGTTAATAAATTTATTTGAACCCAAATCTAAAACATCTATTATCTATACGCATATAAGTATACATTAAATAAATTCTGGTTCCTCATAAAACACTATTTTTAAATATTTAAAACTCAATTTGTTTTAAATTGGGCACGTAAGCTGATTTTAAAACCTATTGAGAAAAGTTTTTTATTCATCTTAGAACCATAATCAAAAAGGATTTTTAAGTGCCAATTCATTTTTATTTAAACCTTCTTCTGGCGAACCGTGGCCTTCCCTTAAAATTTAAAGGAGTCAAAATAAATTTAGTTCCTACCCTTAAAGTATAAATTACTTTAACGAATTTTTAAATAATCAATTTTGTTGTTGAAATTATAATTAAGACACATTATTATTGTTCATATAAGTTAAGACTTTTATTTACAAAGTTAGAAAAGAATTGAAAGTTATTTTTCACAATAAATGTTTATAAATTTTCAACTTAAGCTCTTGTCGATCAGATATTAAGAAAGTTTGAAAGAATGTTGAAACTTTGTAAATAGAGATAAGAAAAGAAAATTTTTTTTCGCCTGTAAATACTTTTATATTGTTAACTTTTATCGAATCGAGTGAAAGAGAGAGAATGTAACAGTGTTTTTTTTCTTTGTTTGATATATTTTTCTTGTAGAAGAAAGAAAATAACTGACGAATAATGAACGTGTTCACAAATCGATGAAAAATTTAGTATCAAGTGGTTTACACTGAGCACACAATAAATTTATTTGGATCCATGCCAAAAGTGGACTTTACACATAATTTTCAAATGAAATTCTCCACCCGGCGTTATAATTTCACTGTGACAGGCGTTGATGCGTGTGGCTAGTTCTCTTTCATTAATATACATATATATGAGCATTTTGCTCTTCATTTTCTCTATATTGGATCAATTATTTTACTTCAATAATTTCACTTTATTTTCTCTCTCACAAATATAATTTTCTGGAATTTCAGAAGATTATTTTTTACTAAATAGTTTTTCGTTGAATTCGTTTTATCTATTGATTGGTTTTTAATTAGTTTTCCAAGTTTTCGTCATTTTTGATAAAAAAAAAAAAGAAAGATAAAGCGAATTGGATTAAGTTACCATAGATTAATTTTAATAATTTTGGTTAGCTTTTTTTCACAAATATCGTTATAAAATAATGAAGTTTTATATTTTAAATAACATACCAGCGTGTGGTTGGATACTAAAAGTGACACCGTGTTATTGGAAGTGTCCAGTAAAGTGAGAGAACCATCGTCTGCTTGATAAACGAACTTGTCGTGAGAAATCCATGACGGTGGTAGTCTATGTGGTGTCAGATCTCCTCGTAAACAATCCTCCAATGACAAACGCTTTCCGCTCCAATACAAAAGTTCATCGACGTATCTGTAATTAGCAACAACTTTCTTTTTTACAAAACTCTCAATGCATTTAACACAAAATAGTACATCCTCGAAGAGTTAGTTTCCTCTCGTTTAATTAAATAGAATGTCTGCACTTATTTCTTATAGATATTGGATCAAACTAGGGGAGCGAGGGGTTGGTTGTAACAGGGGTAAGAAGTAACAGTTTTTTTTTTTTTTTGGTGCATTTGACTTTTTGACTTCAAGTATTAAAAGATTTTTAAGAGATACGCCAATTTTGTCAGGCAATTGATGAATATCATTTTCGTAAAATTTGGTTAACTATTCTTTATGTATCGCAGTAAACGATTTACTATACATTCGTCAATTTTTAAGATTAAAATTTTAAAGTGTTACATACTATTCAATAAAGTGTTCTAATACAATTATAAAAATTATAAAAAGGTTGCACAAGTATACTTTTGTGTTTCTAATTAAAAGATAAACGTTCTAATATGGGTCCAAAATTATTATTGTAACAAACATTTTTTGTTTAAAAAAACGACTTCCAGTAATAAAATGGTGTACTTTTAAATAATTATTTTGCTCTTATATATCATGTAAATAATATAATTTATCGATAAAATTATTAATTGTTATAAAATATTCTAAACATTCCACGATATAGAAAATTGTTACAACCAACCCCTCGCTCCCTTACTTGAAAAATAATAATAATCAATTCTTTTATTATTTTAATAAATTATTATTATAATAATAAATGTCATTGATTATTTTCAAGTATGTGTAGAAAGATGTTTTTTGCCAGTTGCCAGGCGCGTATCCAGGGGTGGGGTTTGGGGGTTCAACCCCCCTCCCCCGAAATCATAAATTTTCTTGATCCCCTCCACTTTTTCCAAGCTCAAAAAATTCAATTTACTTTTACAAAATCCTCCCCGAAATTATTTTCTGGCTACGCCCCTGACAGTTGCAAATTAATATATAGGGTGTTCCAAAAGTATGGAAACTTGCAAATATCTCGTAAAGTATGCAATTTCGTGAAAAATATTCAAAACAAAAGTTGTTACTAAAAAAAGATCTACATTTTTGAAGCCAAAAAATTTGTCCCGGGACCCAACAGTGAAAAAAGAAGTATCACGAAAATGTGTACTTTTCGAGATATTTGCAAGTTTTCATACTTTCTGAACACACTGCATAATGTATTTGAAATTAAATTTTAATTTAAAAAAATAGAAAATATTCTCACCCAAGGAGGTAGATTGCTGTAACAATGCCAGCGATAATCATGCCAATAACCAAAAGGGAGAATATGATACTTCGCCAATTGTGACCACTTTCGCCATACGTGAGATCCTGTAAAAAATTTTTTTTCCATTTCGAATAAAAATGTTTCAGAAAAGTTTTCTTTTTATAAAATATTTTAAATTCAAGAATATATTAAAAGTGAGACTGTATTTTTATTTTGAAGTTACTAAAAGAAAAAAAACTTCTCATTACAACCAGGGAGAAGATATATATACATTTCGTCTCAGAGCCAAATAAATATTTATTTGATACAAATAAATATTTTTAATTTTAAATTCTTTTTTTTTATCATTGTATAATCGAGATTGTGTTTTATTTGAAAAATTGTGAGGAAAAAAATGCCAAAAAATATTGTCAGTTTTTTTTTGTGTGTAAAATAATCGTGCTTTTCATCTTTTGTGTCATATAATAACGGCGCCACAGATTGCATTCGGCGTCGTCCGTGAATATCATTGCCCTCCCATTTCAGTTGGCGAGTTCAAATTCGCATGCATATTGCATTCGGGTTATGTCTATGCTGAAACTCACCGGAACACGCTCGGACCATGTAATACATACTGCGGCAAGATTTTGAAATACGCGCGAACCACCACTGAAAACGTAATGTACTTAGTGCCATGTCATTCACGCCAGTTGGAAATTATGCACAGCATAGATAAACGTTTATGTCTTGCCTCAAGTGTTGCCCTTCTATCTTTGTTATTTAGTCGCAGAACAGCAATTTCACTTTTGTATAATTATATATATGAGGCAAAATTCCTGAAATGTCCGAACAAAAAATTAAAAGTTCTCGAATTTAATCCATACTTTTCTAAAATGTTGTTATTGTTGGTGAAAGTCTAAAAATCAATTATTATTGAATTTAATAAAATAGTTTTTGAATTACAACGTTTTTAATTTTTGACTTTTGAAAAAAAAAATTTTTTTCAATGTACAATATTTATAAGTAGAATGCATAAAAGTTAACATATATATAATGATTTTTGAAGCTTTTTTGACGAGCTACACGCTGTTAATAAAATTTTTTTGTTTTAAATAACATTTGACCTTGAAATTCAAGGTCAAAATGTTAATTTACGTTTATCTCAAAATCGGATTTTTTAAAATTATTTTTAACTATCTCAATGGAAAGCTTGACTAATTTCCTACAAAACATGTAATTTTCAGAGTGGGATCTTTTAAAGTTTTTGAGATATTAATTAATTAATTAATTAATGTTTATAACAAATGAAATATTTTACAAACGAATAAAGTTACCGTAATTCTGAAGTTAGTAATTGAAAGTTAACGTAATTCCGCATCCAACGAGCCCTATATGAAGTATTTTGGATAAGTAGATTGTTAATAAACAATTAGTTAACATTGCAATTATTTATTAACAATCCACTTATCCAAAATACTTCATATAGGGCTCGTTGGATGCGGAATTACCTTAACTTTCAATTGGTAAGTTCAGCATTACCATAACTTTATTTGTTTGTAAAATATTTTATTTTTTACTAACAACAAGCATCCAAAAGCCCTATATGAAGTATTTTTGTTCAATTTTAGTTAAATAACAATAAAAATGAAATATCTTACAAACAAATAAAGTTATTGTAAATCTAAACTAACCAATTGAAAGTTAAGCTAATTCCGCATCCAACGAGCCCTATATGAAGTATTTTGGATAAGTAGATTGTTAATAAACAATTGCAATGTTAACTAATTGTTTATTAACAATCTACTTATCCAAAATACTTCATATAGGGCTCGTTGGATGCGGAATTACGTTAACTTTCAATTACTAACTTCAGAATTACGGTAACTTTATTCGTTTGTAAAATATTTCATTTGTTATAAACATTAATTAATTAATTAATTAATATCTCAAAAACTTTAAAAGATCCCACTCTGAAAATTACATGTTTTGTAGGAAATTAGTCAAGCTTTCCATTGAGATAGTTAAAAATAATTTTAAAAAATCCGATTTTGAGATAAACGTAAATTAACATTTTGACCTTGAATTTCAAGGTCAAATGTTATTTAAAACAAAAAAATTTTATTAACAGCGTGTAGCTCGTCAAAAAAGCTTCAAAAATCATTATATATATGTTAACTTTTATGCATTCTACTTATAAATATTGTACATTGAAAAAAATTTTTTTTTTCAAAAGTCAAAAATTAAAAACGTTGTAATTCAAAAACTATTTTATTAAATTCAATAATAATTGATTTTTAGACTTTCACCAACAATAACAACATTTTAGAAAAGTATGGATTAAATTCGAGAACTTTTAATTTTTTGTTCGGACATTTCAGGAATTTTGCCTCATATGATGTATTCCACGCCAAAGTGTAAGTCCATCTGTAATTGCATTTCCGATTTTTTTTTAAGTTTTTTTTTCTTTTAGTACTAATTGAGACTAGCTTCCAATAATTTTTTCTTTTAGCAAGCTGTTTTCGGGTTATGGAATTTTGAAAATTGGAGAATTTTCATGACTTTTAATTTTTGAATGTTCATAACTTCCTTAAAAATGTATCAATTTTAAAAGTCTTCTTTTCAAAATGTATGTTTTTAAACGTACTTTTCAACAAAAAAATCGAAAATTTTTTTTAAACGATATTACTATCAAATTTTTGAGTTTTAATGATAAAAAGTCATTTTTCTCATTGGACGTACTGTAATTTTTTCAAAAAAACTACTTCTTTTTACAAAACTTTTAAGCCTATAGCCCGATAATGGGCAAACAATTTTTACAATATTTTTCGGAATTTTTCAAAAATTTTTGAATTTTGATTTTTTTAAAAATATTTTTGGTTATTTTTATACAATGTACTTTTATGTATTTTGATGCGCTGATTACGAAAATCATAATGTCAAAACCCAACAATTTAATTGTTATGGTGAAAACCATAAAAAAGTCCCAAAATTTATGGTTTTTTTCGTTTATTGGGTAAAATATACAAAATTAAAAAAAAAACTTTCAAACAAAAGTTAAAGAACAAAAACTATATAAACTTCTTTTCTAATTATAAATTTAAATAATAGAGTTTATTAATTTACTTTTCATAGATGAGTTTCTATCAATACAATTATACTTGAAACGTCATAATCTGTATACGAATACGACGAGTTCAATGACCTAAGAATGTACACTACCTTTTCGTTTGTCAAATTCGTATTATATGAAAAATTGTTTGTGATTAGTTTGTCAGTGAACACTGAACAGAAGTCATAGACTTTTTTTCGGTAATATTCAAAATTTTTAAATTAATTAACTATGTAATTATAAATTATTGTTATTTTAATATTTTTTTAATAAAAAAAACAATTTTTTTAGTTTCTGATGAGGACAGCTGTGCTGTCGAAACGTTAAGAAAAGGGATCGTTTTTTATTTTTTATTTTCCTTTTTTCAAATATTACAATTGACTTGGAAGATTGATAAATTTTAACAACTTTAAAAGTTAAAGAAGTTGCAAAAAAAATTTCGTTCATTTGAACGTTCATAAATTTTGGCTCATAATCATGGAAATGTGTTATAAAATGTTATTTGAATTCCCTCAATATCACCTGATTATTCTCTGAATGTCATATCGTGGAATATTCCCACGGGGCGGACATTATGAATTTCCTAGAAGATCATGGGAATATTTTGTAGCGTCATGTAACAATCAATTTTCTTTTTTTCACTTGAATTTCACATAAATTTTGTCTCTATTGAGTAACGTAAAAATTTCATGTAAAAAAATGTTTTGAAAATTAAATGAAAAATTCACACTGTCTGACTATAATGTTCCATTTTTATAATTAAATCGTTTTTCTCAAAGTTAGATAAATAAAGTCACGTCGAGACATGTTAATAAAACTTTAAGTAGAAGTTGGTAAAGTTTTAGTGAGACGTGTCCGCTTTTGAATCGTAAAATAAAAAAGTTAATTAGACGTGCATAATTTTTAAGGTTGTTAACATGCTAATATGTAGCATGTGTAAAATTGCTCACACCTATATATATATATAGAATAAAACTCATTCTCTAATTAAAGTCTGAATTATAGATCAGTTCCAAATAAATGGATATTTTGTTATTTGGGAAAATACGTTTATTTATTTTCTAAAAAAAACATTTTTTTTATATGAGTAGGGGGAGATTCACCGTTTTTTTTTCAAATATATATGTTTCCCATTTCTTTTGAAATAGGGAGAATAATTCAACTTCTCAAAGGCGAACAAATATGAAATGTAGCAAAAGAAAATTGCTACAAGTTAAAGCATATTCCTTTGGGAAATCCAAAGTTTCATCAAAAGTTGAAAACATGCGCGGAATACGTAATTTATTTACGAAACTTTTGGCTTAAAATGATAAACACAAAAGTATAGTGCTTTGATTTTAATATACATACGTCCTCTATCGATAAATCGCTCGTAAAGGTGAACAAATTTGAAATTTTTTTTTTCATTTTGTGATTGTAAATTTTCGATTAAATTTTATTATTTAATTTTCAAATTAATTAAACTCAGTTGACAACTGATTTCTATTGTACGATTGATCACGAATGATTGTGCAATTTTTTTCGTGAAAATCCATCAAAAATAATTGATGAACGATTTTTTGACTTTTGCCAGTTATAATCGTTTTCCAATGACTTGTTTATCGTGTGATGAATAATAATCGCTTCGCTTGTCAAACTCGTCGACAACTATATGTTTGCCTTTGAATATCAAGCGACTGTTTTGCCGCAACTTTGAAAAAAAAGAAAAAGAAAGAAAGAAAAAAAATGAAAGGGAGAAAAAAGAAATGGCGCTAGAAATGCTTGTCCCCGGAAGTGGCGCGAAGTCCCCTTTTTAGGTATTCTGTTCGAGTGCATCGTAATAGCAACAGCGAAGAAAAGAAGGGAGAGAAGAGGACCGAAAAAAGAGAAAACATCAAAGAATGGAGGAGATACTTGAAGTGTATTAGTATTCGCATTGTCGAACAATCGAATTTATTTCAACGGATTTCCGCCTAGCATATATAGACGTTCAACGAATAACGAGAATCTAAAAAAAAATAAAAGACATTACAATTGACT